TTTTTTTTTTTTTTATTTTTTAAAATTTTTTTTTTTTTTTTTTTTTTTTACATTAAACCCAGTATGAGTGCTTGTTGTTGATGGGTGCAATTTTAATTAAACTCTAAATTGACTCTAGCAGACTTTAAATCTAAATAAAAATGCTCAATTAACACTGCTTGGAAGAAGATCTGCAAGTAAAAAAAAATCAACTGGTGAATGAAGGCCTCATAGAGCAAGACAAACTACCATGTAAACAAATACTATTACCAAAGATTTATTTGATTTAGTGTTGCGTTTCCTGATGCAACAAACATTGTTATTTGGCTCTAATTGCCTTCATTCCACACTAAATAGATAGATAGAGGGGTGAAAAGATGTGGCAGAGGTCAACGGGCCGGTACTCGAACCAGTGACGGCCGCGTTGAGGAGTGGGGCCCGGATTCGAATTATTTTGAAAGTACATTCCGGAAGTACAACTCTGAGGAATACAACTTGACATCTGATCGGTTCCTCACAACAAGGTCGAGCCGGAGGAGTGCGAGACTTGACACTTAGCGGTGGCGATGAGCTTCGCCTCATGTCAGAAACGTGGTTCGGCTGCCGACGTGCCGTGAATTTCCGGCGGTTTCCTCGTATCTGTGCCATATCTAAATGTTGTCGCGGAGTCAACCAGCCGTCTCACTTTTACAGAGTTAGTTTGGGGGTTGTTAGGAGCTCAGCTAGCTGCGGCGGAGAAGGCTAGCTGAGTTCGGTTACCTGCTAAGGATGAGCTCCGCACCGAACCACCGTAACGCCACAGAGACGACAGGGCTGCCCAGAAAACACATCTCCGCTGTCTCCGTCGCTGGACACGTCCAGCAGGTCTTAAGCCATGTGAAAGTAGAAAACCTGGTGGCGGGACTGAGCGGTGGAGTGGTGTCCACTCTGGTCCTTCACCCACTGGACCTGGTGAAGATCAGGTTTGCAGGTACAGCGAGAGGATCGGCTTTTCTGGATGTATTTTTGAACACTCACTAAGATATGAACGTCTCTTCCAATGCAGTAAGTGACGGACTGGAGTTGAGGCCCAAGTACAGCGGTATTCTTCACTGTATGAAGAGTGTGTGGCATCAGGAGGGAGTGAGGGGTCTGTACCAAGGGGTGACCCCCAACATCTGGGGCGCAGGCTTGTCCTGGGGTTTCTACTTCTTCTTGTATGTATGAAAAAAAAAACCCTGCATCAGGACGATTTCACCTGCAACAGTGACATTCAGAAATCTGTTGATGTAAGTTTTCCCTCTTCCTTTCCAGCTACAATGCAATCAAAGGCTACACTAAGGAAGGCCGTCAGGCTGAACTGAGCCCTGCAGAGCACCTGGTTTCGGCGGCTGCAGCAGGTTAGAAACGGCCTCTCAGCTGGATAACTCCGCTCAGAGCTGGATGCAGCTGACAGGTTCACATGGAAGTGACTGCACACCTGTTTTGTTTATTACATTTACTAAGGGGGTCAAACGAGTTTGTTTATTTTTTCCCTGGATAAATTTAACCCAGGTAATAAAATTGAAGCTGCCACACAATATTTCTGTTTAAACAGACGGATCCAGGGAGGATAACATCATTATGAGCTCTGAATCACTCCAGTAACATGTAGTGCCAAGAAACTGAATGCAAATTCACTTGCATCTGCAAGATGAAAAATTGCAACAAAATGCTTCATTTATTCCAGATATTTTATTACTTTATTTTATTTATTTTTTCTTTATATGTTTTTTTTTTTTTGCAAGTTGATTACTATAAGCAGAAGAAAAACTAGCCTTGAGAGTAAGGTGCTGATCCACCGAATATGTGATAAAGTGACATTAGCATCTAATTTTGAGATTAATATTTTTTGAAACGAGCGGCACTAAAGCTGCATCTTAAATTTTTCACATTCTTACAATCAGTTCACACATCCATTAATACTACAACCTATGAAATAAGTTGCTTTTTTTTTTTTTTTTGCACAAATTCCTTTTTAAAATTACATTTTTCTTCTGTTTAAAAAAGGTTTCGTGTTAAAATCTGAGATATTGGCTGTAAATTTATGGTGAATATTTGATTTTTATTTATTTATTTATTTTTACTTGGCATGAAGTGCTGAGAAAGCTGAATCTGAAGAAAAATGTTTATATGACAAATGAGTAGAAACCTATTAAAATACTAAATGCAAACACATTTTGCACCACCTACTCATCCAATGTGCCGTGCTTTTTTCTTCGTAAAGGCTGTTGAAAACTCTTTTTTTAATCTACTTAGTTGCAGCCAGACCTGGCAGAACATTAAAACAGTGTGTGTGTGTGTGTGTGTGTGTGTGTGTGTGTGTGAGTGAGAACTTGAAAGGCTCTGGCACACCTTTAGAGTCTTGCTTCCTGCTGCTTCTTCTCAGGCATCCTCACTCTCACCATAACCAACCCGATCTGGGTCACCAAGACCCGACTGGTTCTGCAGTACAGCGCCGACCCCACCGGTAAGCAGTACAGGGGGATGGTGGACGCCCTGGTGAAGATCTACCGCCATGAGGGCCTGCCAGGACTTTACAAAGTGAGACATTTTTTGTGGTCTTCCATGCGCGACATATTAAGTGTGTCTGATGATTATAGATGCTAGATTTTGTGCCATGAAAGAAACAAATAAAAGCCCAACAGGAAAGTCATAATTGCAAGTTTTATAGTCATAATTATGAGGTTTAAAGGCATAATTATGAGTCTTGGCGTCATCATTTGAGGGCGTGTCATTATTTTGGAATAAAAGCCATAATTTCAAGTTTCAGTTATAATTATGAGACCCAGTCGAAATTATGAGTCATAATTTCACCTTTCAAAGCCATAGTTTTGATTTTAGTCATAATTATGAGTGCTGAATTTGACTTAAAAGTTCTGAGTTTTAATGTCATAATTTTGAGGATACAAGTCATAATTTTGACTTTAAAAGTAATAATTATGAGATGCAGTCCATAATCTCAACTTTCCAAATCTTAATTTTTGCTTTAAAGTCATAATTGAGATGCAAAATAATAAATTCGATTTCGTCCAGTGTCTCATAATCATGACTTTAAATTAGAAAGTCAAAGTTATGACTTTGTTTTTACCTAAAAAAAAAAAAAAAATGATGCCTTTATATCTCATAATAATTCTGCCTCTAAAACTCGGAATTATAACTTCCTGTTGAGATTTTGTTCTTTTCTTTCATGACCTGCATGAGCTTCCAATACTTCCCTTCCGTCACTTCAGCAGGAAATGGTCATCCTCCACTAGGGGGCGTCATTACTCTTCATCATGCATACTTCCAGCTGACGTGAAGTCCGGTTGTGTTCTGCAGGGCTACGTTCCGGGTCTGTTCGGTACGTCTCACGGGGCTCTGCAGTTCATGGCCTACGAAGAGCTCAAGAGAGACTACAACAAATACAAGAAGGTGCCTTCAGATGCAAAGTTGGTGAGTTTCAAACTTGGGGTTACACTGAAGAAAGTCATCACTTCCTCCTTCCTGCTCACCCTCCTCTCTGTCGTTCTCTCATGAGCAGAACGCTCTGGAGTACATCACAATGGCAGCACTGTCCAAAATATTCGCCGTCGCCACGACGTACCCATATCAGGTGGTGAGAGCTCGGCTCCAAGACCAGCACAGCAGATACGGAGGAGTCGTAGATGTCATCGGACAGACGTGGAGGTACGGATGCCGATCTGCCAGGACCGGTCACTTGGACCCGGCTTCCTTTTCACGTTCGTTATTCTCTCCGCAGAAACGAAGGAGCTTGGGGCTTCTACAAGGGCATCGTCCCAAATTTGATCCGCGTCACGCCGGCCTGCTGCATCACTTTTGTGGTTTATGAGAACGTGTCCCGCTTCCTTCTGGGGACGAAATGAGAGAGATGGAGAGGACCCAGCATGGACAGCCACACAGGGCTTCAAGCTCCGGCTGAAACGTTGGAGATGAAGAGCGGACCGCGTTTCCCCAGAGGCCTTCATTAAGTACTTGGAGATGCGTTAAAGTGGGAAAAAAGTCGAAGCAGTAAAACTACTAACTCATTTCCACTGAAGTAAAAGAATTCTGACTTTAATCTCAGAACTTTGGCTTTTACTCTTAGAATTTTGGGATTTTTTTTTTCTCATGGAATTTTGATTTATTTTTATTTTTTCCCCTCAGAATTTTGACTTTTGAATTTAGAAGATTAAAGTCAGAATTCTAAAGAAAAGTTAAGATTTTTCAGAGAAAAGTCAAAATCCTGAGATTTAATCCTGAAATCTGAGGGGGGGAAAAAGTCAACAAAAAATGTTCAGTGGCCTTAATCCTCTTCTGTAAAAACATGACAGGAATATGTGTCCCATTTAAGTGCACAGTTATTTCATGGGGATGAGTTGTTTCAGCTTGTCCCTTTGGAAATTATATAAATGTGATTTGGTAACTACTTTTTCAAACAAGAGGGGCATATTGTAACGATGTGGTGAATTCAGCATTCTACCACAGAGGAAGTTTTATTTATGTTTTATGGCAACAGAAAGATGAAAAACAGTCTATTTAATGTGTGAACTGCAGCAATGATGATGCTTCTTCCATAGTCATTTTTTGCTCAATACACAAACTAAGTGTATTTTATTACATTTTGTTATGAAATGTGAAGTGCTTTATTAACTCGTGAACACAATAAATGTTTTATTTTTGACCTATTTTATTGCAGGGTGTGGTGTTTGGCTCCAACGCGTTATTCCACACTTTTCCAGGCTGCCAGTTTCCCGACTTTCCAACCTCTATGAAGACAGTTAAATGTTTAATGCACTGAACCAGGCATTACATTTGAAACCTGTAAAAATAAGTGATTTTTGTGCAGCGTTAGACCAGAATTTAAGAATGGCACAAGCTTGGTTTTTCAGCCTGAGGTTCTAGGTTTATAATATACGACGTGTGTAAATGTCACAGTAAAATTTACACTGCCTTTCAAGATTAGATTTGAAGATTTAATGAAGAAGAAAAAAAAAAACCTGAAATCCAGAGATCACTGACCAGCAGGGAAACACAAGGAAGAGAATAACAGGAGGAACCAACAAGGAGTGACTGAGAATGAGATGGGTATTTACTGCAGGAAGTTGATTACTGAACAAGAAACAGATGGCTGAATAGAAATGGGTTGCAGGTGTGAGGGAAGAGAGAGAAAATGACACAGGATACACAAACTGGTAAGAAAAACTGAATCTAACACTAGCAAATAACTAGACATGAGGAACATAATTAAACTAAAATAACCAAAAAAGGGAAGAAGAAAAGAAAAGTAGAAACTAAGAAACAATGAAATAACAAACAAACCCAAAAATGACTCAAACAACCCAAGATCGTGAGACCGATTTGGTAAAGTTTTAAAGGAGTGACCCGTATCCTGTTTTCGCTGAGAATACACACAATAAAGTCCAACAATAATAGGAAACAATCAACATTTAGGATGTTATTTGTAGTTTTTATGTCTTAGAATCAGGTGCCCTCTCCTACAGGAACTTCTTTATTTTAATAATATATTTTGTTTATGCTTCTGTAGGTAAAATGATTTTAAAAGAAAATTGGATGCTAAAGAACTGATGGACAAACAGATGGGTGTGTTAAATAATGGATGAACTGACAGATGAATGATGTTGATTAATGCATGAATCGAAAGATGCGACGTTGGATGAAATAATGGAGAAATGGAAGAATGGAAGGATGAATTAACAAACGAATGGACACAAGTCAGACAACGGGACATTTTCTGTAAAATATAAATATCTTCCCAAGCTCATAGTTTTATGGTCCACATTTCTCCAAACCTGGAAATCCCACGTCTTTTCCACTTCCTACAAGTGATCAAGTCGAGTCTTTAGAAAAACGTGACTTTATTGACAGAAACGATTCACACATACACACACACATCATACAGTACATTTGAAGCACATTGAATGGTTACTGCAATCAATTGCCAGGCCACCAGCAGACAAAAAAATAAACCGCAGTACAGAGTTTACTTCCAGGAGGCAGAGCAACAGAATTTTCTGTACGTGTAATTAAAAAAAAAAAAAGAAAGAAAGAAAAACATTCAAGGTACCATCAGTGGCTCTGTCACGCCTCAACCGGCCGTACCTGATTATTTCTGGTGTGTCAGGCGACTTGCTCCAACACTACAAAGACCGGGTCCTCCCTTTCATATCACTCTGTCTTCTCATTTAGGCAGTTCCTCTATGATAATCCTGGACACAGAATTCCACCCCGTGGAAGCGTCTCCCCGGGGATAATCGGCGCAGGTCCCCACCCACACCGCCACGTCCACCAACCCTGCCTTGACGCCCTCGCACAGCCCCTCGACTGCAAAAGGAAAACATGAGCAGAGGTCAGAGGCCAGGAATCTTTTTTTTTTTTTAGCAAAAACACACAACTTCAATCATTTCGCATCTTAAATCCTGAATTAGTTTTCTGACACGCGGTGGCCCTTGTGAAGTTAAGAAGCAGCCTGCTCGGCAGCAGCTGAGCACACGGAGGATTACCTGGGGCGTACTTCTTGGCGAGCCTCAGCCAGATCAAAAGCTAAACGATGCCTCTGTTATTTTCTGTTGCCCTGCAACACCGGCGTTGGTTTTAGACCGAGCAAAAACACTGGTGCAAAGATACGGTTGGTCTGTTTGCCAAATCAACGGGAAGAGGAATTGTCATGGCTGATAAAATATGTCGTCTCTGAACAACAAGTAAAGACGATGCCGGCACGTCGAAGCTTCTGAATGCGCTCCGCGACGTGCCGGTTTGATCCGTCGGATTTGTTTCAGAAACGTTTTGCATTGCTCTTGCTCAAATGATCCGGATTAAACATTAAACCAAACCTCAGTTTGTTTACTCTTGAGACGACAGTAAGTCATCTTCCAATACCACGGTTTTAACTGTGAGAGCAAAAATAATGATTAAATAAAACTTTTTTTTTTTTTAATAAGGTAAACCTACTCAAGTACAAAATGAGGTGGTAACACTTTATTTGAAGATAATACTGACATGGGATTATCATAAGCATGAAGGAGCCTTCACGAATCCTCCTGTTGTCATGAAGTGTCACTCAGTAAATGATGACACTTTTAATGCAAGTTTGAATAGACTTTTGCATTATAAATGTATTTATTTAAAATATAATGTAAAATTGACACGTTTAGTGGACTTTTAATGCAACTTTTAGTTCAATTTTGCATTAAAAGTGGAATTATTTACCCAAAGACACTTCATGAAGACTCATGCCACCAGTGTTTTATCATGTTTACGACAGTGTCGTGTCAGTCTTATGCACACCCCCTCAAATAAAGTGTTACCAGTGAGGCACAGTCCACGATTCAATGTTTCAGTCCTTTATTTTATTTGTTTGGGTTTTTTAGAGTTCACTACAGGTTCTCCCTTACCTGAGGATGTTCTGTGGATGTTGATAGTGGAGTTGAGCTCTGGACTTCCCTGGTCCAAGTAGATGATTGACTCCACCGGCAGGGGTCCCGTGCACTCGGCTCCGTTGAAGGTGAAGTACCACCGCTGGCAGCAGGCGTTCTTGCACTTGAGTCGCAGGGAACCGCTGAAGAGGACTCTGAGAGCGCTGTCCGAGCGCAGCTTGGTGAACGTGCAGTCCTTAGACACGGCAACACACAGATTCTGAGTGAATTTATTTTACAGAACTTATGCAAAAACTAAAACATATATATATATATATATATATATATATATATAATGTTTTCTCTTTCTCACCCTCCGCAAACCTTAATGTGTTGTACTGGGACATTATGTGACGGACCAACACAAGGTGGAGCAAAATTGTGTAAAAGTGAAAGTAATAGGAAAGAAAAAATGGTTTTCAGAATTGTATTTGTTGTTTTTACAAATAAAGACATAAAAAGTTTGGTGTGCATTTGTACTCAGTCCATTGCAACACGGTGTCCATGGTAACCCTGAGAAATCTGACTTATCTTAAGACTAACAAAAGTCAGATTTAGTAATTAATTGTTAACTGGAGTGCACAGACTCAAAAACAGGCCATTTGGTAAATGAAAAACACACTCGGAGCCAATATTGAGCCAAAACTGTTAAAAAAATATTGACATTTTGCATTTAATATATATTAAAAAATTATTTCAGAATTATTCAGAATACGCTAGAAGGACTGGGATCAAAGCATATCAACATGCTGGAATTTCCTAAAGTCCACGCATAAACCTACATTTCCTGCATACTGATTCAGAAATTGACATCAACACACAAACTCAGTCCAACCTGACTGAGCTGGAGTTAGTTTTTTTTTTGTTTTTTTTACAAGAAAGAATGGGATTTTCCAGATTGCATGAAACCAGTGAAGACAAATCCCCCCTCCCCCCAAAGAAAAAGCCTGGAGCTGCAGTTGTGCCGCAATGTGGCTCTGCTTTGTGTTCATGTGTCTCATAAAACACCAGTAAACTACTTTAAAGCTTGCGGTTACTTGAGGTGAAACTGTGAGTCCTTTCCGTGTGAATTCGTAACACAGATACTGCTCAGGCGGTAATACTCACCGCCACTTTACCCAGGTCGATCCCATAATTCAGTGCGTTCCAGGCGCACTGCTTGTAGTGGGGCCTCCAGGGTTCCTCAAAGATCTCACTCACGCATTCCCCTTTTTCACCTTTGAGCCCGTCACGGCCCGGGATACCTGGGGTGCCTGGAATGCCGTTGGCTCCGGGGTTACCATCTCTTCCAGAGGTTCCTGCTGGGCCTTGCATGCAGCTGCCATACTGGAGAAAAAAAAGAAAAACAGGAAGGGTCATGAATGCCAAGAAGGACAGCCGAATTTCGGGTAAATGAAGTTCCTGATTCAGTCTCCCGTTTACTGCTGCCTTCGCGTGTTTAGGAAACATGCACAAAAATGAGGCAAGATTATACCTCATTTACAAGTCACGTAAACAAAATCCGATGCCAGTCGGGGTGCAAGTGAAAAAAAAAACACAGATGTATTTCCAAACCAAGCAGAGGACTCTAGCACCAACAGACATCAAGCCACCAAGCTAATGAATGATATATTGTGCGTAAATCAGGAACTGCGGGCTTGGAGGTTGTCTAAATTAGTAGGTGTGTGAACGCACTTTGCGGCGTGTGATTCATTGTCCTGCTCAGTTTTTGTCTGCTATCTTTAGGCAGATGCTGCAACTCACCCAAGCTGACTCAGACTCACTCAAAGTCAGCAGAGAGCTTGCCAAAAAAGCTACCGCACACAAACACCGACACAATGGAGGAGCCAAACGAGCGAGACGGGACACGTTCCTCGAATAGAAATTTTATACCAAGTGATTGCAGCACAAAGGTTTTGAAAATTGGTGTTTTTTTGGGGGGGTGGTGGGTGGGGATGATAGGGGAGGCAGCAGATGGGTTTTAATTTAGGTTATTTGTGGGTGCTCTCTCTCTCTCAGGCAGGATAAACTGACACGTAGGAAGTCCAACCTTGACCTTAGGCAATCATAGTTGACTGAAGCAGCTGGGTTTGCTGCCCTTTTTACTCAGCATGCAGCTGTGGAACAGCAGTGGAGCCAAAAGACATTAAGTTGGGGGGATGGGAGAGGGGTAAATCAAAAAGTAGGGGTGGAGAACAAAGAGCTTTTACTTCGGTTTCAACATCTTGTCCTGACTTGGGTCCCAGAGGTAAATTCTCAACAACAACAAAGAAATGCGTTTCAGATTTCCTAATCTAAAACAAAAACGTCTAAAAATAGGATGAAATGCAGAATTCCTATAAGTCTGTTCCTGCCATTAAGCTGCTAAAGGGTTTAGCTCCCAAGAGATACGAGACTTTACGTCATCTCCAGAGGAAAGACTGGGAAGCGATGAAATTAGAAGGTTCTTGTTGGCCACTGCATGTGCCGAAATAACACTGGAGTCCTTTCAGGAAAAATGGGATGAGATACTTCCAGGCGTCCTGGGGTTATTGGTGACGGCGTCTGGGAGTGATTCGAGAAGACCGGCGTATTCACAGGGTGGAAATGTCTGCAGAGTTTATTAGAGGTTGTATTTCTGGAGGGCTTTCAAAAGCAGACAAATGAATGGAAACTCTGTCCGCCCTGCAATACAGCTGACTTTTATATTAGCTGCCTGTATGCTCCTTCTACAGTGGCAGCCCGCCTGCCTATTTACACTATGGCCATATTGTACATTGTACCTTGGCGCATACCATGTGCATTAGTTCGGAAACTGTACAGGTACTGACTGCTTTTCATGCATTAGTCCACACCAAAGCACAGGCAAAAGCTTTTCAGGAACATGCAGGGTTTGATTTGAGAGATTTCTGATTCAACGGATCTCAGGCGTAAAAAAGTTGGATTTAAAGATTACCATGCTGCTCTGACAAGGAGATCTTCCCTCGTCCGAGGAGTGTCTAGTGCAGTTGGGTTTTTCTGCATCGTTTCCTGTGCACTAGATACAGACGGTCACAAAATACGGACTTTGTTACACTACGAAAAAAGAATTGTGAGCGAATCTTAAATATTAGTCGTAGAAACAGAAACATTTGTAAAGGGGATGTTCAGTATTGGTTAAACTGTAACATTTTTGATTTCGGTGCCTAAACATTTCAATTGGTAATTTATCGTGTGTGGTGTCCGATAAATAAGGGTGGAACTGATGTCTCTGGATTATGAATTAATATATCAAATTATTAAAATAAGTAAGTGGCGTTAGAGAAGGGGTCAAAATTTGAGTTTGTATTCAATTTTTTACCAACAGCGCTAAAGCTAATGCTAATGCTAATGGTAAAACAAAGGTCAGGCCAAACTACTTCATTTTGGAAGTGTTTTGCTTGCAAGCTTTTTCTTAACTAATAGGCTCAATGCATGGTTTAGGGTCAGCAAGCTGAGGCAGTCATTCCTAATGATTGGAGCATCCTAGCTGTGGTAGTCCACAAAGGGGGTTTACATTTATTTAATGCCTCGTTTCCATTGATTTTTCCATTGTAAAAGTGAACTGTACTGAACCCTATCTTGGCCCCTTTCAGTTGCAGATCCCTAAGGCAATGGTAGAGTTCAGTTAAGACGGACTGTATATTTATATTCACTTAGACATATTGGCCCATTTTGAAAAGCTATCACTCATTCTGGACCCACCCCTAAAAATATTACGAGAATCACATATTGAGTCCAAAATTAGAGTCAGAACATTTTGAAATCACACACAATAAATTCTCTGGGAGCTATAAAACGCAACATACCAGTTTGATTTTGGTACACATGACTTTAAGGCATGAACTTATAAACTGTTAAGACATTTTCTCAAAGTTAGCCTTATGTTTCATGTCTCATTTGAGAACATACCTAGTTAAAAATTATGAAATTTGGCTATGTCTTTTATTTTGGTGGGGTCACCACATCATTTTTTTCTTGCCTTTTTTACAGGCTCCTTTTCAACAAGCCCCTAGAAGAAGTTCTGGATCCGCCCCTGCACAAAAAAAAAAAAAAAACCTGAAAATCCGTCAAAAAAGTATGCGTATACCTAACAGCTTGTTGGAGGCATAAATTACAGTAACTGCTTGAAGGTTCAGTATGTACACTTCTGGGAGCAGTGGGACCGGGGAAGGGGGGGGGTCACTGGTTCTAGGAAACCTAGCTAAAATAAACACAAGTTTTATTTATGAAACCCCAAATTCAAGGGGTAAATGTGTCATTTCTGCATCAACATTCCCATAGGCAGTAAATCTACACAAATATCCTTTGGATTGGGGATGACAATCATTAAAATTAACCAACTGGAGAACTGTTAACCATGAACAAAAACAGCTCATATCTATAAAAAGTTATTTTCAACCGGAAAAATGGGAACACAAGTAACAAAGCCAGAGAGTATGAGCCAGACCCCAATTTCCTGTTTTTTCTTTTCTTTTTGAAGAGCCTAGTGAGTCTATTGGAGAGCTGCCAGTAACGGAGAACCAGCTGACTGTAGAACCACACAAACAGCGATGATCTGCAGATGCAGGAGGATGATTTTTAAAGTGCCTCGCGTTAAGACAAGTGAATTAACCAATAAAATAATGAATTCTCCCGTGTTAATCAACTCCACGACATAAAAAGACACCTAAAACAGCGTTAAACAGCACAGTACTAAAAAGGCTAGAGTGAGACTAATGAATATGCAAAAACAAATCAATGAAAGTTACATGAGACGCATTAATAATACAAGGGGCGCAGACACGAAGGTCACCGACTGTGACAATCACATTTTAATGAGTCATCCAATCAAGAGAGTCGACTTTGAAAAGTTGAGTCTTTAAGGTGATTTTTTTTTTTTTTTTTTACAGGGTCTTACCTTGTCAACGTCGGGTTCCTTTCGGTATCCTCTATTTTTCACCCTTTCCACCCCGTAAAGAGGCAAAGCCAGGCAGAGGAGAACGAGCAGGCGGCTCGCCAGAGGAGACATCCTGCCGGTGGTGACAGCCTAGTCAGTGTGCCGCTGTGTGAGGCGACAGTCCGTCTGAGCAGGAGGCCGGAGGAGGGCAGGCCGACAGGGGAAGGAGCCATTCACCGCGCAGAGACGGAGCTAAAGAAAACATTCCCGGGTGATGTGGAGGGGGCACAGTGAGGCCACTCTGTCAAGATCTTGAGTCAGTGGTTAAAAAAAAAAAAAAAAAAATCCGAGCTCAGATCAAGAGTGCCTCGCTACAGCATAACAGTAAAGTGTAAGCAAAAAAGATAAAAACGTGGTTTTCGATTCTTATTCTTATATTTAGAAATAACAGTCTGATGAGTTCAAATCTTAAGTAGGTCTTTATATCTGCTTCCCATATCTTAAGTTTTTCTATTCTTTGCACACAGACACAAACATAATAGTCAGGTGACTTCTAAGATAAATTTGTTGCATTTAAGGGTATCAGAGTAAAAACAGCTGAGCACCACATTTCATATGATATTCTTTTTCTTCCGATTCCTAACTGAACTCCGACGTATAAAAAATAGTCTCAATAAAATACTGACTCACACAACATAGAAAAGAATTGTACGTGTTTTTATTCAAAACATCACAGTAGTCCGAGTTTACAAACTACAAAAGGTACAAAAATTAACTTAACTGAGGAAACAACAACAAAAAAAGAAAGAAAAAAAAAGAATATTTGACAGTCTACTCAAGGTACATTATTAAACTACACATATAAGGTGACAGAAATACAAAACAAAACATTCATTGACAGTTTCCCTTTTAATTTGTGACTCTAGAAATTTCTCATCTCCCAGAGTTAAAAAAAAAAATCAACTCAAAGAATCATGCAGCATTGAAGACGTAATATATTGTCATATGATTCACTTAAGGTGTGCAAAAATAACTTTAGATCATTTATTTGTGACTTAAATGTTATGAATACTCCTCACAGCTAGAGCCCCCTGCTGGCCAGGAGGTCCGAAGAGAACTTGAATTCACACAGGACAGGTCAAATGCCCCAGTTGTACAGATATTAAGGAAAACCTTTGCAATTTGAAGATTATAGTAACAGAGTCATATTGTGAAGAAAAGCCAGGCCTGCTCACACTTATATCGATAAATCACTGCTTGTATTTATTTACTATTCAGTAATTTGTGGTTTGTGCTTCTAATACCATATAGTGCAAAAAGGCCTGCTTGTTTATGTTTGGATTATTTGCCAAAAAGTGGTTTAATCCGGACCCCGCCTCTCGCCCGGAACGTTAGCTGGAGATAGGCACCAGCACCCCTCCCGACCCCACTGAGGGACAAGGGTGTTCAGAAAATGGATGGATGGTTTAATCCGGTCCAGTTGATATGTCTTTAAAGACACCAGTGTACAAAAAATGTAAAAAAAAAAAAAAAGTTCACGATAGAAAAAAAAAGTGGAAAGCTTTTCAAAAATAAATTTGCACATTCAACTATTTCAAGTTTAAGAGCATCTTTTAAGAGTGGTTACATACTTGGTCTTATAACAAACAACATATCCAAAAGTAACAATAAGACTTCCAAAAACAGAAGACTTTCATGGGCTGAATGTTTGGCGACATTATAAACCACCTAATAAAAATTCAGTGTGTGGACTAATACAGCAAAAAAGCTTGAATTCTACAATAAAAATAATATTTTACACACATCATGATGCAGTTGTTTTTTTTGTTGTTTTTTTTTTTTTTTAAGGAATTGAATGCTGTTTAACTAAAATCTCTAAAAAGTGTTTGTGATGTACGCGATGTTCCTAAAAGTCCATTGGTAGTAGCCTGGTTGAGATCCAGCCGTGTTCTTCAACATTCGGACTAAAAGATCGGTAAAGCTGGAACACGCAGTCATCATCACCTTGAGCAGCTGCAGTCTAAATCCTACACATATCTGGTCCAACAAACCAGCTGATGTTTGCTAAACATTCACTGGATACAACTTAAAAGACCTTTAAGCCACCATCAGCTGGAAGACTGAACAGGAAACATTTTTTTAGCTTAGATTTCTTTTGGGTCCTTACTCTCCTCTGATGCCTTGTCCACCTTCTGGTGGGCGGAGTCCAGAATGCTGCTGTGTGATTGGTTCAAAGTCAGATGCTGCTGCTGCTGTTGTCCACTTGTAGCTTGTCTGGCGTCTGACAGCTCGCTTTTTGGAGTCATTCTAAACACAAAGGCACAATACAGATTGATGATGCAGAAATTATAGCCGCTTATATGTTGTTTTTGTTGCTCAACGTAGTAAAATTTACAGAGTCTCTGCTCAAATACACACTTTCCACCAAGTAAATCAAACCTCCGATGTGTACTTGATCTGCGGAACCTTTTTTATTTCAGGGCTCAGGTGTAATTGGACAAATCAGCGTAAGCATAAAAAAGGATTTACATTTTTAATGAAAACTGTTTCGTAAACAGGTGCAGCTGTTCCTTCATCATCTCCTCGTTAATTAGACAGAAGGCTGATTCCGAGTGCGACATTTGAATTTGACATACTGTGAAGCGAGATCCCATTTATAAGTGAGACAGTCCAAGAAAATGTGCAGGAGAAAACGAGCTTCAGAAACGGCCAAATTATGACGGTAAAAAGGAAAGAAAGAAAAAGCATTTCATTGATTTGAGGTTTTTCAGGTGAAGATGGCAGATCGGAGATAAGGGTGGGCCACCATGGAGAGGCTGAAGGTCTATTACAGAGAAACGCAAATGCTTCTCAGTGACAACCTACAAGGCAATGCTTACTAAGGAGCTAAATCAATTTTTTAAGCAAGTTCTACTGATGCTTAAGGTAGGGCTGCACCAAATGCAGTTTTCTGATCTGTAAAAAGCCTGACCTGCCGATTCTCATTTTCACCCATACCGACATTTTTTTGGTTTGAAAAGTGGCTAAGTATGACAAGGAACAGTGGGATAACTTCTGTTAAACGGACATGTGCGGAAGTCAGACTTTTGCCGAGGTGGATAAAATCGGCTTGTCATTCAAGTATCGACCGATCACTAATCCCTCGAAACTAAGGAAATCGCGGTGATTTATCAGTGCGCCCATAGATTAAGATTTAAGAGATATTTGATCTAAACCTGAAAAAAATATATATGTATAGGTTTCAATTATTTTTTTCTAAACAAGAAAATGTACAATTTGCTTTCATTGTATATTTTAATTCATATTAAAATATTGCACCTAAAAAGGCCCAGAAAGACAGCAAAGAGTTTCAGAAGACGATTCCACCCTTGTTTTATGGACTTTTGTCACATTTGTGTGCAGAAGAACCAATGAACAAAGCTAAGAGTCTGCACTTTACCACTACGTAACTCGTTAAAGGGTTAAAATTTAAATATTGTGGCAAAATTAAAAAGATCTCAAGAAACAATGAGTTTGTAAAAATTGCTTAGTCTTGAAGAAAAGGCAAAAAAACCCTCTTACCTGCCGTCTGCTACTCTGTTCATGCTCTCCGAGCGGCTGCTGACCTTACTGGAGCTCCCACCTTTGCTGCGCCTCTCCCCGCCCTCTCTCTCCCTCTCCCGCTCCCTCCTGGAGCTTCGGCCGGAGGCGCTGCGGTCCAGGTGCTCCCTGGCAGAGGTCTCGGACAGGGAGCCCCTCGCGTGCGGCTCATGGTTGCCGAACACAGAGGAGCCTTGGTGCGTGGTGCTGGCGGGAGAGATGGCGGTGCTCGTGCCCATAGACTTTGAGATGACTTTGAGCTTGTGGGAGGTGGGTTTGTAGTGCTTCTTCTTGTGCTGGACGCGGCTGTTGTGTTTCAGGAAGAACTCGCAGGACTCCTGGAGGACCCGGCGGCTCTCGCTTATGGGGCTGCGGACCACAGAATGAGACCCGTTAGCACGCGACATGGCAGCGCTCCTTCTGGTTACTGTCGCTACGTCACAGATGCGAGAGCCTTACTCTCTTTTGCGGTTTCGTTTGAAAAAGTACGCCCACTCGGAACAGGTCTTTTTGCTGCTGACCCAGAACACGGCAGATATCCCGACCACCAGCGTCATCAGGTATTTCACGAGAAACAGAGAGAGGTCGGGACGGTGGAGCTCCGTGGCCTGAAACAGACAAGACAAGGATGTTAACGAGATCCTTGTGATCTAGACAAATTGTGTTTATTAAGAAATCCAATTTGAAGCTAAAACTGGCATTCTTCAAGGGGCTAAGTTGATTCTGACAATCTGGTGCTGGGAAAGAAGGCATTATGTGCTGCTCTGCCACTTTTTTATATATATTTTTTATTCAACTAAGCCACCATGATGTAATTGCAGTAGATGAAGACCAAATAGTTTAAACGTATGTGTAGAAACTGGCCTCCTTGGACAATGCACAGCTGGCTCAACAACAGGTCATCACACAGTTCATCAAAAGTTGAGTTTGCAGTTCCTAAGTGTTGAATCCACAGTTCTGTAAAAACAGCTGACCAGTTCCCCCCAAAAACACTGCATTTATACATAAATTATCTCTAATTTTTAATGACTTATTGTGTGTACAGACTTATTCATGTGTGATTTCAATTGCACTTCTTATTTAATGGAAACACCACAATTCTCAAATTGTGTTTTTGTCTATATTAATTGAATACTGAAAAGGTTTTGTGGATATTTATAATGGAAACACTGCTACTCGCTGATTTACAGATCTACACAGAGGTAGATAAAATCGGTTGATAAGATCGGAGCCAGTATTTGAGAGTGAATGACAGGAGCAGACACAGATACCTTGTGGGAGCAGGGGATGCTATACTCTTGACACCTGTCATTGATCCAGGTGTTCTCCCAGGAGCTGCGGTGGCTCTGCTCGTAGGTGTAGCAAGCTAGCAGGGTGACCAGCGGGACCAGGTAGAGGCAGCTGAACACGCCAATCCGGATCATGAACTTCTTGAGCTTCTCTTGGTTGCGCTCGTCGTGCTGGATCACCTGCCTGACGTGGTTGAGAGAGACGATGCCCGCCAGGATGAGGAAGAGGCCCACCACGACGCCCACGCACAGAGGGGCGAGCACGAAGTACCGCAGCGCGTCGAGGTCGTACAGCCCCACGAAGCAGACACCGCTAATGTTATCTCCTTCGACCTTGTTCAGGGCCAACAGCATGACAGTTAGCGCGCCGGGGATTCCCCAGGCGGCGGTGTGGAACCACACCTAGAGACACAGAACATGGAGAGAACTGTTGCTTTGGAGCATAATTACCAGATTTTTCTAGATGCCCACATTATCGCCCGCATAATAATCAGACAGCAGAAAACTGCTCTCTGAGGAAGAACACCTTTGGATTCATCTGTTCAGTTGTCATCATAACGCGCCAAATCTTAAATGTACACATGATGTTCAATAGGAAAACGAATGCAGTGCTTTGCTACCAATTGTCAACATTATGACAACTTAAAAAAAGAAGGTTCAACGCTCTCATTTGACAGGTCAGTGAAAAGTTTTGAGTACAAAAAAATAAATAAATTAGTGAGGGAGAGGGAAGTAGGTCAGTTATTCTAGCTCGACCTTGACAACCTTAACATGTAGATGAGACTCACACATCTAATCTCTGACAGACCATCTTGAGAGCAGGTGTTTAAATTAGCTAATCAACCACCACTGAGTTCAGATGATCACTTATTAATGATCACAAAAGAAACACGAAGCCTGAAAACATGATACAGCAGCACACTGAATGTTATATTCTGTGGGAAATATCTCTGTGTTTATTGGTGTTAAACTCTGATGCATTAGAGGAGCTGTTGTCAGTCGGTTGCTATGGCAACAAGTGTGTGTGTGTGTGTGTGTGTGTGTGTGTGTGTGTGTGTGGAATAGCTGTTATAAAGTGACAAAAAAAGAAGAATATGAGTGGTTCTGGGTTGTTCTTCAAAGGATTTTCTGTGTTATTGTCCCCTTTGCTGTAGCACACTGCACTGAATTAATAGTAGCTACATTTCCAGGTTTCATTTTGAAAACAGAATTGTTTTACCGCAGCAGTGAGTCTGTGAATGGCAAGTAAAACAATCATCTTTTTGCCCTCCAGCGTTGTTGCGTACGTGGAAAATTTCTGGATGTAAACAACAACATGCAGCGTTGTCTAGGAAAACTATAAACTTCAAACTGCAGTTGTTTGGAGTTTACAAATAGGAACCGTACCGCTTTCTTCTCGATAGCCTCGCAGCTCCATTTGGGTCCAGCTGCCAGGAACCAGGTGATGGTGAGTATGACCCACCAGACGATCCCCGCCATTGTGAAGAAATAAAGTAGCATAAAAAGCAGAGTGCAGCCTTTGCTGTGCGAGCCCAGCATCACGGTTTCCACCGCGCCGTGGTGATCCGCCTTGGTGCAGGCGGCGTTGTTTCCGATCAGGAAGCCGAGGAAGTATATGAGGGAGACGAAGCTGTAGCAGACGGCGTAGAAGATTATGGGACGCTCCGGGTATCGAAAGCGCTTGACGTCGATGAGGAACGTGAGGAAGGTGAAGAGCGTGGCGCCCAGGCAGATGATGGAGCACACGCCGATGAAGCTCTTGGCGAACTCGATGTCGTGAGGCCTGAAGTACATGTTGGAGCAGGGCGGGGCGCAGTCCTGGGCGCCGAGGAACGAGGAGCCGTGGCCCGGCTTGGTCTTCAGCTGCAGCGGGCACCAGAAGCCGAGGTCTCTCTTCAGGGACGAAGGGGTCACCGGGGTGGTGGAGGGCAGGGCGGAACCGTCCAACCCGCAAGGTTTCAATCTAGAGGACAGGAGCATGATAGGATGAGGCTGATAGGGAATCGCAATCGCATTCACACCTGTAGAATGTTTTACGCTTTTTTTTTTCTAATTCTCTAACCGTGAACCTCAATGCGTTTTATTTTAGCAATAGTTGATAGAACAATGCAAAGTACAGCACAACTGTGACATGAAGGAAAAAAGATGCGTCAAAATGTTTTACAGAAAAAAATAAATAAACGGGAAAAAATTGCTTCATTTGTATTTGGGGCTTTACCCTGATGCTCCTAAATAACATCCAGAAAAAACTTTTTCCTTCATAAGTTACTATAATTCAAATTCATCAGAAATCCAGCCGTTTTGTGGAAGCCATTGTGAATTTTTAGAGAACATTATAGACCAAACGATGTGGACGAGGATGCTCTGGTTGGATGAGGTCACATCTGAACATTTTGGTCGACATGCAAAACTCTACACTTGGTGAAAAATAAGGAGTCGCTGATAAATTGTACAGCCAATAAATCGCTCAGCTAATAAATTGGCAATTGGTAAATGAGAGTAGTAAAGACCGACATGGTTATTGCAATATTCAAAGGCAATACTGCAAACCTAGTAATGCGCAGACCCAGTCTATTACACAAAATCTTTATATAAAGTACAGCGAAGGGTAAAAAAGCCTATGGCTGTAATGTGACTAAATGTGTCAAAGTTGCTGTTTGTTATTGGTGGGTGTGTCCTCTTACTTGCTGCACTGTAGCTCAGGAGGCCAGGTGATGCCAAAAATGCGAATGTTCTCCTCGCAGTCGGACAGGACGGCCTCACACTTTTCCCTGCATGGGCGGATCACCCGGTTCTCCTCGCTGCACGCCGGGATAAAGGCTTGGCACAGGAAGTGGTGGACGTCCGGTGAGCACTGTAGGCTTGCTAGGGGCATAAACGGCTGCAACCGGAGAGGAAAAAAATTATTTTTTTAAAACTGAGACTTTTGGTTACAGAGGTTATGTTTCTAAAATGAAGTCTATGGAAAACACAACATTTTGCTTATGTTAAGCGATTGGTGGGGGGAAAAATGTGAAAGGAATATCCTGAATTAAGCAGGTTGCAAGAAGATAGATGATTAGATAACACCTAAAACTATTTTTCGAGCAGAGAATCATAAATATAAGGACACGATCCTTCCCGTCTCCTCCAAAGATATCGTCTGTTGTCATGAATTAACAATAATCTAAAAATAACAAAGGCATAGAGACCCAGAGACATCGTGGGTCATGTTTGCTTAATAAAATTAGACCGTGAAACAATCTCCGTCTGAAATTTGTTGTGATAAGCTGCACCGTTCTTTTCAGCGGCGCACAAAGCTGCCCATTCACCGGCTGGAGAGGAAGCATATTCTTCTGTTTCAACACGCTGGTCAAGAACTTCCTGGAGAGGGGCGTACGAGGGAGCGGCGGGAGGGGTCAGGTGGTTATGGGGGGGGGGTACGCAATATAGCTGGCAGGAAATGAAAGGAAATACATTTCTGAAACAAGCAAGTTGACATTAAAGCCACCTTTTAACTACAGAAACTTTGTCTGCTGAGTAATTTTAAGATATTTAGGAGATGCAGTCAAGACACATGAAGGAGTTTGTGTTTTTACCCCCAAAACCAAATGGTGCATACTCTAAAACACAGACCGCTATTCAGTGTTTTGCTTCTTTTCCCTAAATCCTTTCTGGCAGAGGTCCCATATCTGTGAGGCCAAGGATCGCCTCTCTCTCTCTCTCTCTCTCTCTGACAGTAAGTACCCTTGTTTCTCTCCTTTGGAGGTCCCTGACTCGGAGTGCCTTCTGGGCTCAACAATCTGACCTTTATTTGCTTTGCAGTGCTTACAGTAAAAACTGCTCACGTTTCACCAACCATCAACATGCGTCAATGCAATTAAGTCAAACCTTTTCTGCCTTAAAGGGGCAGTGTTATGTATTTTTCCGGCACATAGTTCCACTTTGCAGCGCAATCAAGTAACTATGTTACCTTCAGTTGTTATAAAAATTATGTATATATCAAATATGTTTGTCTTGTCTTTAGTTTGACAGAACAGATGCAACGATTACAGTTTTTTTTATAGTCGATCAAAGTCTTTAAAAAGCCTGACCTGTTGATTCTGATTTTGGTCAATACCACTTTTTTTTTTTTTGTCTGAAAAGTGACTAAATATAGCAGTAAAGTTCCTAAGTTGTCAAAAGTGGCATAGCTATTGTTAGAAGTGAGAAATTTGACTTTGAAATTTAACATCTTGAAATTGGGCCTCAGTTTCTTCAAAAAACTCCAGCTCTTTCTGAAACTTCTGCCTTCAGGAAGTCGTAGCGTAACATCGCTCCACTTAACATTTTTGCCAGCGTTGCACTGACAAGTAGCTCGTCAGTTGCGCAGTTCTAATTAGCATCTTGCTAATTGCAGACGGCTAGTCTAAAGGAGCTGATTGAGGGAGTTGTTCTGTGAAGCGGAAGCTTGGAAGCCAAGAAGCTGCAGTTCTGAGGAGGAGCTTCGTCCTTGAAGGCGGAGCTAGGTCCACCCAGACGTTTTTCACAGCTGAATAGTTGCCATGGGACATAAAAGGATTTCTCAAACATGCACGAAAGAGTCAAAGCAAAACTCCAGGTATATTTTTTGATGAGAGAATAACATTATAAAATAATGTAAAGCTAAAAAAAAGAGTCAACTTTACATAATACTACTGCTTTAAAAAGGTCAACTCTTTTCAAAACAATATCTCTATCTAGAAGAAAAAGATACATGAGGTTTGTCACCCATTACTTTTTTTTTTTTAGGTATTCTAACATCTAAAATACCCCACCTCTTGAATCTGCCGGAATTTGGAGCAAATGCCTTCCCTCTGGAGTACTGGATTGATAAGCCGACCTGGGCTGAGACTGAGGCAGTCTGTTGGATTCCAGCACCAGGGCTTAGTGATAAACAGCTACACATTTCAGACAGGGCTGAAGCCAAGCGTTGTTGCTGTAACATGGGAGACAGCAGAGCGTACAGTGGAGGGGGGGGGGGATGAGTAAGTCATTAACAGACAGAAGATACTTGGTGTGGTATGCACAGTCAGCTTTGTGTGGGACCAGGCGGGTCCCTCCCCTTCCTCTGAAAATCAAAGGCTCTACGCAACAAAGTCGATAGAGTTGCCGGTGGCCAAGGCTGCTGTGAAATCGAACACCTGCAACCTTTGCCAGACGCCACACAAAAGACTCCTTCAACAGATCACTGCTCATATTCACAAAGTCTGACACGGAGTGTAAAAGTAACCAGAACTCTGGGCCCAAAGGAATGCCTGGAGACAAGATGCTCTACCAAGAAAAATGAAACAAACATAAAAACAACAGAGGAACACACAACTGGACTAGTTTATAGGTGCGTATTGTTACAGATCGCCGCAAAAAGTGAACCAAGAGTTGATTAAAGTTGCATTTTCAGAGATTTCTGCATAAAGAAATCGTTGCGGGGTTTTTTTTTTTTTTTTTTTTTTTTTTAACCCATCGTCTTGTAAAACATCCAGAACGGTGAGTGTGAAGCAACATGCAATGTGTCGTTGTGCAACTGTTTTAAAGAGTTTACCAACAAGTGCGTGATAAATCCTTCAGAGCTCTGCTCTTTCTCTTTTGACCTGCAAACCGCTTTCCACTGACAAGTCAGAATTATGGTTCTGGCTCACATTTCCATCATGTCCTGACTGGCTGCTCCAAACACCTGCAGCCCTGCACTGTTTCCAAGTATTTCCAACCACATTACAATCTGGGACCACATGTTTAGTATCCATTGGGTGGGGCAGCGGGAGGGTCACTACTTGACTGTTACCAGGGATGCACCGGTATGAGAATTTGGGCCAATATCAACATAGATATTTTATTTTCCCGAACCCTTCAGACATCATGAATAAGTCTGTTCACGCGATAATCATTCAGAAGCATGCCACACCATGATCTGCCAGCTACTTCCTGTCGTCTTCTTCTTCTTCTTGGTTTGCGTCAGTGGCAACGTCTGGTTGTTGGTCATGTGACTTGTGAAAAAAAATTTAAAGCACACCTCATCCTAAGGCCAAAGTGTTTTATTGAAAAGCAAGTTTCTTTGTAAACACAAATTGTTGTGTTTACAAAATAAAGCGAATTTATTTTTGAAATGTCAAATTGCGTAATTATGTGGTCAATGGAAAAGCAGCTGCTGTCCCGTTTAGCTCTGCTGTGAGAGAGGACTGACTGACAAGTAGGGGTGTAGTGATACAATAATTTCACGATACGATACGATATTCTGGTCACAATACGATATGTATCACGATATTTGTTGAGCAATACAATTCGCTACGATTCAGTGCATTTTTACGATTTTCTGAAAGATTTTAGAAGGACAGAGTGATTTTAGTGACATTTTGTGTTCCACAGACTTGAATTTAGTTAAGTGAAAACTGATTAAAAGCACCAACTACACAATACCTGACACTTACTTGGACAGTCTAACAGTCTGTAGCTGGACAAAATGAATCAAAGATGCAGTGAGAGAATTAGTTTCTGTCATTTAATTCATGTGGATTTGACATAAAACTCAAAAATTTAAACTAATCCAGGAGCAGAGTGGGGAGATTATCAGCCTCTGTAGATTCTCAATATGCAAACGATTGCACTTATGTTTTTTCTTTTGGACACTGTGGCTGCATTTTTACTCCAAAATGCAGCCACAAATGCAGTCTTTTGGACTATGGGGAAAAAAGGCTTTTCTACCTTGGCTCCCGGAGTTAGCCGTGGCTGTAAGCTGCTATCTTCTACCTGCTAAAGTAGTGGCTCCGCCTCACCCCGTAGTGATCGACTCCCTGCAGCTACGCAGCGCCGCTATTCCCCTGCTTGGATCTCTGAGTAGCTGCCTCTCAGACTGCCAGCATCTCATAGTACTCTCAGTCTCTGATACTTTTTGTCTGTTGCTAATAAGAATGATCGATCAGCCATTGTTATCATGGAAATCCTCACTGCGCCGCGGATTCCGGCTGGGGGTTTTTCCTCTTCGTCTTCCTGCTCAAAACACAGCGCCGCTGCGCGCCCGCTTCGGATGTTATCAACCCATGTTCATTCTTCAGGTAATCCTTTATATACAGAACAGAAACCGCTAAGCTAAAAACTAATTACGAAGTGAATGCTACCAGTCAAAATTTGCATTAATTTCGCGATTTCACTGCTTTTGCAGCTGCTCCGTTCGCGCCGCTACTCCTTTCCGCTTCTCCGTTCCGCTTCTCTTTCACGGTTACTTGCGCAACTTTACTTCGTTCCTCAGCAACAAAATACAGCCCATTGTTATTTATTGAAGATTTTACATTTCCAAAAACACAGGAATCTAATGTTTCGTTTCGTTTTGTACGTTTGGAAGCTCATTCCCTCTCACATAATCGGAAAAGCCGGGGAATGGCGGCGCTTTTGACATTTCTCTGACATTCGGAAAAATATGGTTTACTAATTTTAGCATAACTCAGGTTATACTTGGCCTATTAACACAATTTAAAAACTGGTGTGTAGTTTATAATGTGCACTTTAAGCTCGAGTTGAAAGTTAGGCTGAGGGAGGCGGAGTCTTGCTGCTACGCCATAACAAACTAGACGTTAAAAAGAGCTGTCAGGCTATGGACCCCTACTGTTTAACGGATCGATACTCGGGGATGAAAAATCGATACTTTTCGAGGGCGGAAATATTGATATATATCGCCAAATCGATTTATTTATACAGCCCTACTGACAAGGTCACATCTGGATATGCTAACAATAGTCACCCTACTGTTGCCAACTTAGTAATTTTGTCGCTATAGTTACAGATTTTTCAAATAATTATTGGCTGAAATCGGAATGGTAGAACAGGTTTTTTTTTTTTTTTAAAGATCGCTGGTCATCCAGAAAACTGCAAACAGTGCAACCCTAATTGTACTTCATTAATTATTACATTGGCTGGTAAACTCATTACTCATTGATGAAAAATGTCACAAGCTGCAGAGTGATTTATATACCAATCAATATTTAGCCTACAAACTTCATTAATGCCTTGCAAAATCTGCTGATAGACTTTGGAGTGGTGGATGTTTTAGTCATTAGTGAATTTAAAGATGCACAACCCTGATTGTGCATCTATGGTTTTCATAAAATTATATTTCAGAGTTTTGATAAAGGTTTATGGAAAGAGATGCAGCTGGAAACTCAAAATTCAGATTTTTTTTTGAGTTTCATTGTCAGATCAACAAACACGCCACACACAGCCACAACCAGATAGTTGTAACAACAACACTCTTCAGAGTGGAAGTCACTGCTGAAGAATGAAAGTTGGTTATTTTCAGAAACAGTAATGCGTTTCAGAAGAAGCAGAAAAGCTACGAGAGTTCAAAGGAAGCTGTACTTCTACAGAGGTGGGTACAGAGAGGAGGAACGTTAGGTCTTACGTCGTTTAGGCTTACCTCCATTTTGCTAGCTGCGATTTCCTGGTCGTAGTGATCCATCATGTTAGGAAAGAAAGTCATGTTGTAGGGCATACCGAGGCACCGATGCACTTTGATGGGCTCACAGGTGAACAGGCTGTGAGAGCCGCAGCTTCCAACCCATGCCAGTGACAGCCACAACCACAGTGGCCCTGGCATCAACATGGCAGCAGCTGACTTGGCAGCAGCTGACTTGGCAGAAGTCTTGCTTCTATGTCAACTGGAAGAGGTTGCTCTTTGGGATATATTTTGCCTGAATTTGATGACTTTGGTTTTTTTCCTTCTGACTCACTGCATCATCCACAGATCACTTTTCCTGGAGACATTTCAGAGGCCTGAGCAGCAGGTCCCACATCCCTGTAAATAAATTGCGATTAACATGAAATTTGTCACTTTTAGGAGCCCTACTCTGGCATTTATTTACTTATTTTTTGTTGTTATGTGTCTCTTTACCTGTGTACAGCAAAGAGAAATATATTACAGTCCCTCGTTCAGTGAATTTCCTCGTGTCCCTTGAGGTGCTTAGCTTGAGAAACTCTCCTCAGAAACATAACTCAGGCGGATTTTGGGAGCCATAAACCAGTCAATCCCTACACAAACTTTGTGCGCATGCATCTGCACAGGCTGGGGGTGGGGGTGAATGCAACAGGATCATAGGTGATTCAGAAGAATCAGTCTCGGCTTGTTGGAGCCCATTAAAACTTCACATTAAAATGTCAGAACTCCAAATACACAATTGCATATTAGGAGCTTAGAGTTATGAATGCGAAGCCGACCTAAATGCTTTCCCAATGATATCCTGTTTCTCACAAGGTAAAGCCTCACTACGTTCAGCACTGAACATGGTCATTTCATATGGGGGGCCATGTGGAACTATGCACATTTGAAGACACTATGCACAAGATGTTTTTTAAGATTATTTGTCATATTTTCCTTTACAGATAATAGAACTTGGGATAATTATTAGTTTACAGATTTTATCTATTTCCGAACAAACCGCAGTATTAATCTTCAGACTAACCTCAATGCTCACTACCGACCTGTAGTGGTGTATGCACTTACTAATATTACCCATTAACATAAGTAGGCTTATTAAACTTTTACATTAAGAGCTAGCAAAGTAACGCTGACACGTACCCACCTGTTGGTGAATAAAAAACCCCACTGTAACTAGATGTAATGGTTGCTTTATAATTGTTTAACTTTGACAACATTCTGGTAGCAGAATCGACTTTTAAGCCACGAAAACAGACACCGAGTGTGCGGAGAAAGTTCAGCCGAGATCCCTGCCTCGGTCGCTGCCATGGTGGGACAGGAGGCTCCGGTGAAACTTCGGTGGGAAATTGGGAACAATAACACAAGCTGAAAAACCAAAAAACACGGATTAAAATGACTTACCTCCTACCGTCAACGTGTTTTTGTAGCAGCAGTTCACATGGAAACACCAAGGAGAGGGGCTTTTTTTAAAGGAATGCGAGGACCTATTTCCTCCGTCTCTGTTTTTGTCCGGTGTTCCCATCGAATAGCGTCGACGCCAGGAGGCGCTGTAGCCTCCAACAAGCTCTGAAAGCGGAGTAAGAAGAGAAACAGCTGTGTGTTGTATGGAGTGCCAAAGGTGCCACAATGTAATGGGTATATTGTTGCTATATCCAAAATGAATTGAATAAAATTGAAGTTAACTATGATAATTATCAATTAACTTTCTAAATAATTATGAATGTATTACATTTGCCATTAAAAATAAATATTTTAAATGACAACTCATCATATAGCATGTTATAAAACACACACAAAAGCTGTAATGAAGATTAATAAAATAAAGATGACAAAGAACAACCGCTCAGTTTTCAAACATATTCACTAACAGTATTTTGTCACACTGACTGTTTCAGTAGACACTTAGTAGTAACAACTAGTTTGCTTGCTTCAAATTTATAAAGCCCTGGCATATTAAATAAAAGTAATAAATTATGGTTTTCAAGTTTTCAGCCACTATAAGATGATATAATATCTACCTTGCATTGTTATACAGATGTTTCAAAATGAGATTGGCAGATGATCCTCCTAAGCAAAAGATTCTATTTAATTTCTGTTTGAAAGCTTGAAAAGACAGATTGAAAAAAGAAAAAACATCAGTAAGTCCTTGGCATACCACTGTGCTCATTTAACCTATCATTATTTGATGCCACCTTCTTCATTAAGCAAGTTTCCTGCACATACCAAAGTCAACATCAGGAAATGGCATAAATTTTGTTGTCTGGACAACATGTTCTTTACATAACACTTGAATCAGTTTGTTAGTCATTGTTAATGAAAGCATGACTTGCAGCATGGGAATTTAGCTAATAACAAGTTCACAGAACCTGGCAGGAAGTCTAAAATAGTTGTAATTTTTATATTTTGAAGAATTTTTCTGAAATCCTTCAGTTGTTCTTTATAGTTTTTCTTTGCATATTGGCTGGATTTTTTTCTGTCTAGTACTTGACTTTTTTCTTTCTTTCTTTTTCACTTCATATATAGATACGTTTTGATTTTCATTATATGTATTGAACATTTTCATAGTCTGTCATATATATATAATTGTATATGTAATATAATAAATTATATATATATATATATATATATATATATATATATATATATATATATTTATATATAGTATATTAATCAATATATAATTAATTATTTTGTGATTAATATATTATATATACACACTGCTGATAGGTTGTGCTTAATGCAAAACAGCAAATGATAAAAAAAACATCATCCTGGCTCTCTTCCATAAAGGCTGAATTTGTGGAGAGCGCGACTAACAGTCGTCTTGCCAACAGATTCTCTCACCTGGGCTGTGGATTTCTGCTGCTCTTCCTGAGTTACCATGGGACCCTTTGCTTCTTGTCTTGTTAATTCTCCTTTTGCATGGCCTTGAGATGGAGAAACATTCAGTTTGCACTTTCGCAATACTTTTAGGTGCTTTGCTAATAGAAACCTGTCACAATGACACATTTATTCAACTATTTTAAGTTGGGTCAATGGTAAATATTAAATGTTATTTCCTTTGATATACGGACAAGTAGCTTAGTATGAACATAGTGATTCACAAAGAGGTCTCACTTGAATACTTGATGTACAATGAAGGATGATGCTGCTTTCCTGATTTATCCTCATTCTAAAAAGCATTTCTTTCAGACACTGTTTATCTTCTGGAAGTAGTATTTGGGGTTTTCTTCTGAAAATGTTCCTAATTGTACTCCACCATAACATATGCTGTTATGGTGGAGTACAAGAACTGGGAAGATGACACACCATACATTTAAACTCAAAAATACTTTAAAAAAAAAAAAAAAAAAAAAAAAAAAAAGAAAAAAAAGTCCTGATTAATGCTAACTGAAGAGATTTAAAAGAAAGGTTGGCTCCTGGGAAGTTTTATGAAAGATATGGGGATTGTAACTCCAGTGTATTCCAGGAACCGAAGCAACAGTGCCTTGTGGAGTCATTGATTATGAACTGAACACTTTCCCTTATTTTCTCCCTCAGAGAAACTAATTGAAACCAGTGACAAAACTGCTAAACTTTGAGTCCTTGTAGAAACTAATGAAAAGACTATTTACGTAAATGCTTAAAAAAGCTAAAGTGATCAAATAGGAATTAGCTTTATTGGGGGGGGGAAAGTATGTAAGGAACTGTTTGAATGTAACGATTGATTTCACCAAACTAGTTGTTCAAAATCACATTAATAACACTGCAGTTTTGACTAGCAGGAGTACTATAGCACAGCACTTATAAAGAAGAAACATTTAAGCATTGAACAATCAAAGAAGACACAGATCTATGCATCAAACACAGATTTACAGTAATTATTCTGAGGTAACCATGGGCGTCGCCAGACCTGTTTTACTAGGGTGCATGCCCCAGGATATGTCATCACATTTCAAACAAAATGCTACAAGTGTTCAACAACAACGTTCTTTTCATATCTACTGTGAAAGGCTACATTAAAGTCTGATTGATTGGCAGAAAAATTAAAAGGAGTAGGAAAAGAATAAAGAATTGTGTATAGATCTGTTTGTGTTTATGTATTATGAAGCCAGTTACATCTAAAAATGCACTTAAATATTACTCCTAAGTCTCAGGATTCTTATGAAATCTTGCATGTGCATGTTCTAATTTGGAACCCATGCGTTAGCAAAAATATTTCTTTCAACTCTGAGAGAAAATACAATTTAGAGACAAGATAGAGACATCCCTGAATAAAGCCCAGTGCAGTCAATTAAATTTGGCAACGTTGAAACCATGAGTTCACAGATTTTATGCTTTATGGCCTATAAAAGGTGAATTCACGTATATTTTTGTGCAGAGCTGAACAGCATTGAAAAAGTAATACTGCTTAGCAGGGGTGTCAAACTCCAGTCCTCAAGGGCCGCTGTCCTGCAGTGTTTAGATGTGCCACAGGTAAAAAACAGTGGAATGAAATGGCTTAATTACCTCCTCCCTGTGTAGATCGGTTCTCCTGAGCCTTGCTAATGACCTAATTATTCTTTTCAGGTGTGGTGCAGAAGAGGCACATCTAAAAGTTGCAGGACAGCGGCCCTTGAGGACTGGAGTTTGACACCCCTGGCTTACAGTAAAAAGCTATGTGTCTACAAAATAAATGTCAGAAATCCTATTATGTATGCATTGTCTGAATTAACCACGCGGGGGCGCGCTTTCTCGGCTATATAACACCGGAGTTCATGTGACTTAGCACCGCTTAGGGGCGGGGTTATAACGTAATATCTGACGGGCTACAGTAGGGTACAGCCAATAAAGTATCGGCGGTAAGTGAGTGCCTCTGCTACTGGCTGTGTTCCCGTTTCGCCCCGCTGTGGACGGGAAGGAGACCAGCTCCTACGGACGTCAAATGACATTTGTAACGGCGGCGCCACCACGGAGGACGGGGCCGACTCATTTCACATTCATATGCGGTACGTAAACCCGTGTTACATTAGGATTAAAAGCGAGCCGAAATCAGTGAAATCCGTGCGTGAACGTAAGGTGCTACAGAAATGTACGCGCGCGGCGCGGCTGTGGGATGCAACAGGGTCATTGTGTTTGTAAATGTGGGGGCTTGTCCTCCTTCTCTGTCCTCATAGTTTGTGGACTGAGGCGCTGGCCTGTTGCTAGGAGACCTTTTGACAGCTGGAAGCTTTTTGGGAAGTGACAGATAATGCACTAATGGGGTCTGGTTGTTTGGAAACCCAAACCTTCGTCCTCTTCTTCCTCCTCCTCTTCCTCCTCCTCAATCCTGTTACCTGTTCATCTGTAAAGCCGCCTGTCTCCTCTGCTTAAAAAACATTACACAGGCATTGTGTCTGTTTTTTCTTCTTTAGTCAGGAGATTAGAGCGCTTTGCAGGGAACAATGGCCTACTTGTTGTGATTATTAACTGCGAATACACCAACGTTGAAATATATTTAATCTCCACGGTTTACATCTAGATCTAAAAAAAAAGACGAATTTCATCATATGTAACCAACATATACATTGTCTAACCACGTTGTAAAACTCAATGAAAAACAAATGATTTTATTTGATTGTCTGAGGTGTGCTCCCTGTCCCCCCTCAGTCAGTAGCTGCCTCTGACCATGTGGCTGAAGGTCATTCATAAACAGGTCGATCAATACATCTCAGTGGGGACTACAGAACAGCCAGCTGTACATTCAGCCCTCAGCTTCATACAGAAAAAAACAGAGATTTCATTTATTTTCTGACATAGACGCAAAGACATACTCATACCCTTACAACTTTTTGGCGTTTTGTCACGTTACAACTTCTAACTCCAGTGAATTTTACTAGGATTTAACCTCAAAGTATCACAAAACCCAGTATGTCTTGAAACCAGCTTTTTACATCTAAAGATGGATTTTTTTCCTTTTCTTCTACTGGAAATAGCTGACGCTCAGTCAAATTGTATGGAAGACATCTGTAAACATTAATTTCCAAGTCTTGCCACCAATTTTCAATTGGATTTAGGTCTGGTCTTTGACTGGACCTTTCGATTAGGCGTAAGACGGCCAATTTAAAATAAATACTAAAAAAACTGAAACTGACGAAAAAAATACGTTGACTACTTTGGTCAAACATGTAAAAAATTAACTTTGACAAATCTTCTTTCAAACGGTTCAGAAAGTCCGATTAGAAATTCTAAATATAAGAGTAGACAAGATAAATAATAAATCATAAAGTCGCTCAGAAGACAAAACACAGAAAAAAATTAGACTGAATAGACTTGCCCTTATGGATTGCGCACATTGCCACTGATACCTGATGTAGAATTTTTTTCCAATATCGGGACTGATGCAGATATGAATATCAGATTGGTGCATATCTAGGTCAGATATGCACCTATGTATAAAAATATGTATAATAAAAATTTTGTGTTGACATACGACATAAAATTCCAACAAATTAAATGAACCAAGTGACGAAATATGAAAAATGCCAATGATGAGGCAGTGCATATGAAAGGAGCTGGTGAGACTAATTGTTGTACAGGAAGCAGGTATGTTTCAATCAGAGTACCCAGTGCAGCTTGGATTTCAGAGTGCTCCTGTGCTGACCTCCTGGGTTCCCGTTTATTAGCCCTGGACTATCAGATTCAGGCGTGTTGCACATTATGTCAAGGTTGTAGCTACACAAGAAGGAACCAGGTGTAATTCAGACTCCCAGATTGTTCTGAGAACTGCTGAGATTGTTTATTTTATTTTATTTTTTGTCTGAACTCTTTGTTGGAGGCTGTCACTGGATCCCCCGTGCTTCAAAAGCAGCTACAAGAATTGTCAAAGTCAACAGCTACGAAGGGAAGGGAGAAGTCAGCATTAGGCATGACGTTCGGTAACGTGTGTTCGCACGTCGCACGGGAGGTTGTGACAGTTTGGGTCGGTCAAGTGGATGCGCTGAATAAAGCTGACATGCTGTTCTGTCCTATCAGGCTGATGTCTGCACCCAGAGAGGAGACAACAGTCCTCAGGAGGCACATCACACCTTCCCCTCCTTCATCTCTCGCTTTGTGAAGGGGCATGCCTTCTGAACCCGGCCTCAGGTAGGTAGCGCTGTGGGTCACAACATATCTTACATCCATGTTGTTTTGTTTTTTTTTATTTTAATTTTTTTGCTTTTTCTCCATGTATTGACCAAGAATCACTTTGATCCATGGGACGAAATCACTGTTGTTTATTAAATCATAGGAAGTCCAATGTAGAAATCAATACAGTATATTGTATAGCGTCAAAAATGGTTAAAATCCTTCCAAATCAGCTTTCTTTATGTAGTTTTACTTGTGCTCCTGTATATTTATAAGCTATTTTTTCAGTATGATGATGTATGTATGGTTTTTGTGAAATTTTGCCTTTTACTATTACAGATTTTAATTGACTCTATGTTCTCTTAAAGGGCTACATTATGAGAGCATAAAAGAGCAGTATTGAGAATATGGCTGCACATTATTAAGAAATTAGGCATTGGCAATGCTATTTGGTTCCTACAGTTTTTTTCATTTTTGTTTTGGAGTTTCGTGAAATTCACACAGAATCTACAGATTTTGAGCATTTCTTTCGCACTAGTCAGTTTTTTTGCAAATTTTTCACAAAAAGTGGAAAAAAATTGTGTTTAAGTGACTGCTGGCTCCCACCTGGAAGGGGTTTAACAAAGAAAAAAATTTGCAAAAATATTTCAAATGTAGCACAGGAAAATCAGGGATTTTGACTGCAAAAAAAACAATCGCAAAAATAATTGCAAAATCCAGATTATTGATGAATATTGTAACGACGTGCAATAAAGCCATGTCTTCCCTTTCCCATTGAAGCTTCCAACACTTTCTGTAGCCTTTGGGATTTTGAGCCAGGTGTGGTAATCTACTGCGTTGAGACCCCATATTTAGCATCCAGATTTCTAAATATTACACTGGCATGCAACAGTTGAAGTTGTGACACTTGGAATTTGTTTGTCAACACTAATTTGCATTTAAAGCAGTGCATTATAATATGAATATAGCACACACTGGTATTGACATGGTGATATTATTCCAGCCTTCCTGCCATAAGTAATCAATAATTGCTAGCATTTTAACTGACTTTAGCATCTGATATTTAGCAATTAGTGTAGTTAGCATGGCTAGCATAGATAAATGCTAAATTCCCTTTAAATAGCTTCTTACACCTCTATGCTTTCTTTAAATGTTAACCACAAGACTGATTGAAGATAGCTGACTTAAAGTGTGGTGCATTCACTGACTGGAAAAAGATAGGATATTTAAGTTTTTTTTTTTTGTTTTTTTTACCAGCTACTTAATCAATCTAAAAGAATCTTTCTCTTTTCACACATGGTGTATATGGGTTTAACCTAAAATATAAACACTGGTCAGTGATACTATAGTATGTCCTTAACTTGGGAGGCAGGCATGACATATTAAACAGGAAGTCAATTTCTGCACTTGAAGTGGATTTGTTAGATGAAGAAAACAAGAGTGCAAAAGTATGAATATGTGTGACTCCATCATGAACCTAATTGTTTTTTCATATTAAAGTGGTCAAGAATCCACAAATGGTTTAAAGAAGGAAAGCTTGTTGGTAGCTGAGCACCAAGAAGGTCATCAGGAAATTATGGCATCTGCTCAAAAGTATCCTCCAGTTAAAAGAACAAAAGTGAGCAAGATACCTGACATTTAACTGTGACCTCATAAAAGTACAGGCAGTATTGTAACATTTTCATTTCAGGAGTGACATATTTACTCTGAACATCAACAGATTCCACCCCTCTTCCTCGCTCTTATGTTACCTCCCAGTTCTCTGGTTGTTAAATCACTTTGCTTCTGAACCGTTTTCCTGCTTTTCTGTGCTCCTGGATCTCTTTTTCTGTCAGAGTACCTGACAAGCAGCATGAGTTATTATTCCCCCTACCTCCAGACCAGAGCTCCCTACACACCTATTTCCTATTTCTATCACCATGAAGGTGACAGAGCAAGCCTCCTGGCAGGCAACAGCATTTAGAGAGGCAACCAAGACTAAAACTGGACACAAGATAGATTTGGGGCGACAGCTCTGCAGGCTGCATGCGCTGTGTATTTCACTGTATTTGACTGTATATATAGTGCTCAAAAAAATAAAGGAAACATTTCACTTTAATTTTAATTTTCACTTTAACTCCAAATCCAGGCCTCCATTGGTTAATAAATTTGATTTCCATTGATGATTTTTGTGTGATTTTGTTGTCAGCACATTCAACTTTGTACAGAACAAAGTATTCAATGAGAATATTTCATTCATTCAGATCTAGGATGTGTTATTTGAGTGTTCCCTTTATTTTTTTGAGCAGTGTATTTACTGTATAATTTTAGCAGTACTTACTAATACCTATTTCATTCCATTTCAGGAAAGCAACACTGCTGATACATGGTTACAGATTGAGGTTGAATGAAACTAGTAAATGATTTAATAGGGAACAAACTGACAGAATTGCTAATGAACAGTTTGATGCTGCCTCTATCACCGCTTTTTACAGGCTCAGGTCAGCCTTGTTCATGTTGAGGTCAGTTTTTAATGAGGTCTCTCTGACTTTCAAGGCGAGAAACTTATTTTCTGGGTGTTTTAGGTAAATTTTCCTAGTGGGAAATTCTGACCTAGAATGCATCACCATCACCGTCCCTTTCACCTTCAGTATTTTTAACCTGTGATGTAGGTTTGCTGGAAGTCATTGTTAACTTATATCCATGACCTTGCATTAAATGACATAAGCATCCTAGACTTATAAAATATATTATATATTTTGTAGTATTTTGTAGTACAATGTAGTATTTCTTGCAAAAAAGAGGCTAACAAGGTGATGATAAATGCTAAAACACACACACTTGCAAAGCAAACAACCCAAAGGAAAAAACTAAACAAATTTCAAAATATAGTTATTTTACAAAGAAAATGACTCTCCAGTCGGCTCTAGGATTTAAGCAATTTAATGGTCTGTTTTAATTTTCTTGATTCATAAACAAATGAAGAAAATTATAGATTTTCAAAATAGATAAATCACTCAAATATAGGGGGATGGACTTTAGTTTTACTGTTAGATGTGACCTCTTTATGTCTATTTCTTTACATAAATCTTGAAGTAAAAGCTGTTTTCTATTTGACTAGCTATGATCATTTGAAATGAACAAAAAAAAACAAACTCTTGAATTAATAGAAAGAAAAAGAATTAAGAATCATGTTTGCACGTAGACGTTGCGTTCAGTCACACACACAGCTTCTGCAACAACAAACCTAGTTTATAATTTCATGCCCCTACTAAAGGATCTGTCTCCTAAAATCTGTGTCCTGAAAACCATCTGATCTCATCCTTCTCTACTCCAGCGTATTTGGCTTTTTACGTCTTCTCACACTGTCCAAAAACAATCTGCTTTGGTTAATAGGTGTCTCCAAATTATTCTTAAGCATGATTTGGAGCGCCCATGTTCTACCAAGCCTTTTCCACTCTGATCCACCCATTCAGAGCAAAAGCTGGTAGAGAAAATGAATGGAGGAACGGTGATAACATTATTTTTCACCAGTTGACACAATGAGTGGACACTATAGATGGATGGATCTAATAAGACTACTGAGACATTTTATTGAAACATACCAAGGACGTTTTAAAAAAAAGCTTAATGGTTTTTAAAGTCAAATAACTTATTCTTTGAGAATTACAACTGTAAAGGGAGATATCTGATAATGAGTAATAAATGAAACCCCCTGATAATGCTTGAGAGGTCATAAAACTGGAATACATATAAAATCCAATAAACGCTAGACATTTATGGATCTTACGCAATAAGATATGACTCCGCTTTTAAAGTACTCCTTTAAAAGCTGAATTAATATATTTTTGTCAATATATTCAAGATAGTTCTAATTAAAGGGAGAACAAAAATACACAAAAATCAAAATTGTGTAAGAGATATGGTACTTTCCAATACATTTCAATCTAAATGAAAAATATAAACTCTTCATTTTTTTTCCACATTATGCATTTTTCAGTGTCAAAAATGGCACTAAAGGTTTATATTTCTTCAAAAATCTCAGAGGTTCACATGAAAACATTGTGCACATTGTGGATGCACATTTCTGTAGCTGTCATGTTTTTATACCAATCACTGCTTTCTGCTTGTTGAAGGAATGCTGTGTGTGTTTCTGTGCGTCTAACAGTAAGGAGATGCTGACAGGACAGAGGCTCTGCTACTCAAAGTCCCACCAGGACTCGGTTCTCTCTGCCCTCAACCAGCAGAGGAAGGATGGTCAGCTGTGTGATGTCACCCTGGTCGCCGGCGAGCAGAAGTTCCACGCTCACAAGGCCGTCCTGGCAGCCTGCAGTGACTACTTCAGGGTTGGTACAATTTGTGTTGATCGTTACCTGGAGACTTCACACAACAAACCATCTTAATAAGGAGTGCACGATAATTAATTCATTTTTGGCGATCGGCCAATTTTATATACCTTTGCAAAGGTCTGGAAGTCAGCCTTTTCTCTACCGTAAGAGTTGTCTGACTGACAGACCCTCCCACCAGGTCATGTGGGAGGGTCTGTCAGTCATGCCAGGTTAACAATTTACCAACTTTGTCGCTAGGTTTGTCACAATAAGCAATAAATCAATTAAAGTACGCTCAATAATTTCCAGGGTTTCCCCCTGAAAACCTGATAAACCTGATGTTAGGGACGCTAGGACAGTCCACCCGAGGGCCACTGTGTTTTTGAGTTAAACATTGTAAGAACTTATAAAAATTATGAGGTGCATCAACACTCATCGTAACGGGCAGGTGCAGGGACGCTTCCCCTCACGCACAGGTCAATGCGTCAACTCTAGCTTAATTAATCGTTACTCTAAATAGGATTTTTTTTTTTACTGGTGTATAAAAAAAATCCTATTTAAAATAAACCTACAATGCTAAGTCTGGTGGCCCGCCAGGCTTACAATACACAGGGGGAAACCCTGAATTCCCATTTGCATGTTTGTTTTCCTTGTATCTCTGCTTCTACTAAAGACTGAATGATAAAAGTTTTCACTCTGGTGCATATTTCTCTACCTTATCGTTTCCTTAGCACAACGGAGGAGTGACCTCTTGAGTCGGCTACTTTAGCTGGTGCATGGTCTCTTACTAGAGTGTGGCAGTAGGAGCAGTAAACCAGAGAAGTGTTAGTAGTGCAGTTTTGTCTGTTTTGTCTGAAGTCAGTGATTATAGTTTTTTGAGGGCAATTTTGTTTATATAGTCTTTGGTCGTTTTTCTTTCTTTAAAATGTCTTCCCTTTCCAGTGTTAAGTGTTTTATAGAAATGAAAGTTTATCAGTTTTGAGAGTGAGAACTTGCATTATCGTGCTGTTTTTATATTACTTGAAAATAGACTCGAAATGACACTATTGTCCTTTATCGCAATAATTTCTTGGACAATACATTGTCAAGCAACATTTCTTATCTTGACAGGCTGATTTGTAGGTATACTTAGCAACTTTCCAGACAAAAAAATAAAAAATCGGTATCGGTCAAAATTGCAATCAGTAGGTCAAACTTTTTAAAGATCAGTGCACCAATAATCCTAATGCTCAGGACTGTGGCGCCACCTATGATAACTTAGGCTCCAATTAACATTTTTTTGTGAGATCACTCTTATCTGATGAGATATTCCACTTTCACTGGCCTCCCAAAAATAATTTGACCCATTTCATTTTGCCAAGAAGAGTTGAAGAGACTGAAATGGTAACGTTTGCAAGAGGCGGCAAACAATGAAATACAAAGTTTTGTTCACTCAGGTCAGGTCCTCCTGGACTGAACCCTAGCATTAGTTGCTCTGGTTAGGCCTCAGAGGAGCATCAGGCAGACACATGCTGTTAGATATCCAAACAGGAGATTTCCCGTTGCACATAGAGAACTGCAGCGATGAGATTTAATTTGGGGACTCTGAGAAGATTAGAAGGTAGATACTAATCCCTCTTCCAAATGAGAAGCAGATTAAATATGTCCAAGTTGCCCGGGGATTATACCTCCCCTGTGCTACTCTGTGTGCCCAGGTTATTTTTACATCTCTCCACAGAGTGCTGATGGTGGGGGGAGTTACACTCTTCTTCTCCTTTTGTGTGTCTTTTTCTTGTCTCTTTTTTTTTTTTACCCCACCTTTGTTCTCCAGAAAGGTGCATAAATGTTTGCCTTTTAAGTTTCGTCTCAGCAAAAGCAACGCCGCGTCTCCCATCTTTCAGATTATTAGATCACTGTGCAACAGTAAGCAAGAAAAAGTGACTTCGCAAGCAGAGCTCTCCTGTTTCTCTGTGTTGGCTAACGATGTTATCTTCAATTTGTCATCTGACTCCATCGCGGGGTTTAAGTTTGTTCATTTGCTCAAGAGATGAGGGCGGCTCATGCGGTAAATGGCAGCTGTGTCTGCTCTCTCTTCCTGCCTCTTTTTTTTTTCTTCCCCTCACACTCAGAGAAACTTCGGCACTTGTAGTGGTGATTATGACACATTATGTGGTCCAGCAGATGAGAGCGACAGTAATGGAATACCTGAACAGGCGTGACTCGGTGACTTGTCCTGAAGGTGTCGTCTCCGTCTCCGTCCCTTTGTGACGATGTTTGGACAGTTTCGGGACACTTGGCCAAGTCAGTCACATCCCACATCATTCTCCACCCTTAGCCACTGCACACATCCACAACTTAAATTGCCGGACTCAAGTGAAAATGTAGATTATAAACCTTTACCCGAGTGTTGCTGATTACAAAGACAAAATTGCAAAACCAAAGGCTCCCTCAAAACTAGTGATGTCTCACTATCTAGAAATTTTAACTAAGCCTGTGGCAATAAATAATTCTTCAATTAATCGCTTGATAAATTAAAATGAGCTCCATGATTTCCATTCTGAAGGACAGTTTTGTTTACAGAGACTTCATAATGCATTTTATTTTTTGTTTTTGGTTGTTGTATTTTATTTTGGATATTTAAAATATCTCCCAGTTCCAGTGTTGGATGTTCTGTAAAAAATTAAAGTTTATTGGCACTTGAGAGGGCGAACTTGTATAATAATGCCACTATCAACATATTACTTGAAATATTATTAAAACAACATGTGACTAGCGCTGTACGCTTGAGGTATATTTGTTTTAAAGTGATAGTTTTGACCTGTTAATCAAAGTTCCCAGAAATATGACATTACAATAACTTTTTATTTTATTTATTTATTTTTTTACATAGTCTTAATGCTGTTGCTTTACATATAAATATGGCAGGCTGATGTTCATAGTGAGAGTAATGGCAATAAAATCCTTCAGCCGGCACAGAAATTAATATCCAGGAGGTTTATGATTTGGCGACAAACATTCTGTGTACACTACTGCAATTGATTCCTAATTGGCTAAGTGTAGATTTGTGTAACCTTTGAGATATTACCACAGTTTTGTTTCATCTATTTAGTGGAAACGTCTTACTATATAGCACAAGTTTACTTGAAAAAGGGTTTGCTTAAATTATTAAGGGCAGCTATGAACTATTCAATGCAAGACCCAAAAGGCTATTTTTGCTAGGGCTAAGACGTTTGAAAACGTAGTGATGTTTTCTAATATGGATAGTTTTTGGTAAACTGTTATGTTTTTTTCCCCAGTAGTGAAGCAGATTGGCATCAGCAGAGTGAGGTTGGGTGTGAGCTGACCTTCAGGCTGCTTAGGGTCCTCTGCTGTGGTCGGGGCTCAGGTCAGGTTTATACACGCTAGCTATATGCTGTATGTAATTTGAAAGTACATCAACAGAATCACTTTTTATTTTTAATTTAATTGGTTTTTGCTACTTGGGCCTAGTAAGGGGCCACATTTAATGTCGGTCTTTTAATACCATGTAGCATAGTGCCAGTTTGCCTACGATTTTTTTTTCTATTGGATTTTTATCCAACAGCATGAGATGCGATGTGAATTTTCCAGTGATTCTTACTGTAGCTATTATGAGCTCATTAAGTGCTCACGTCACCTTAGTTGATTGTTATCAATCAATCAATCAATAAATCAATCAAAGCCTGAAAAATATGTTGGAAGTTGGAGTGTTTTATTCTCTCCATATTTAACCTAAATAAAAATCCTGAAAGTCTGATATTTTTGCTCGACTTGTCAACTCTTACAAACCTCCAGTCACATTAAAATATGAAAACATCTTTACATAAGATAACTTTTACTATATTTTCTCTAACATTTGCATGTTTGGCTGACAGAGATGTTGTCTTTTCTATTCTGTCTCTTTTAAACTACATTTTTATTGGGGTTAAAATGAACATGAAAGAAAAAAGAGGTCTAGAATCAAAAGGCGTTAAATGTAACTGCATGATACACGTATAAAATGTTTAATTGTAGAGAATTCTCAAAAAACATATTGTTTCCTTCCACTTCCTAATTATGTTCTACTTTTTGTTGGTCTATCTCTGGCTTAAAATCCCAAAGTAACACAATTACATTTTTAAGCCTGAAATTGAACAGTGTGTGGAAAATTTCAATGGGTATGGAAACTATTGCAAGGCACCATAGGTGAAATTCATCATTGCTCTTTTTAGACTGAATTGTTTATAATGTGAACTGTATTTAAGGACAATTATAAGTGTTTTATAGTAAAACACAGCTAAAAATAAAAGACAAAATGACCTTTGCATTAGTCAGACAGGCCCGACCACTGTGTTTTTGGTGTAAAGTAAGACTGCAACATTTTTGACAAACTTATTCGTAAAAATAGCTCCAGCCCTCAAGAAATGACCCAATATTTCTCCCCCACAGGGAAACAACCTCTCTGAAAGCTAATATTTCACTCTAAGTCTTGTTATCACAACATGCAGACACATAAATTTTGCCAGCAGGTCAGTCTATCCGCAGAGCTGCAGTTTTGTGTGAAAGGCCCAGAGTGGGCGGGGCTCTGTGGCACACTGTGTCTCTGAGTCCCCAAATCACAGGAGCCATCCGTCACCATCAGCGGCTACCTGGATGTCTCCGCCAAGAACGGCGGCAGTGACTTTGCGGGTGGCCGATTCAGCCAACGGTGTCCAAACAAACTTATACTGGTGTGCTTCTGCCTGGTCTTGTGTGTCTTTCATTCTGGCACACACTGATCATAAATCAGCCACCGTAACACCCCGAGTTAAGCCACCGGCCCTCCTTCGCTTAGTGGACCAGGAGATTTTTAATTTGTGCAGTTGGGGGGGGAATCAAACGGGGAATTCTGCATATGCTTTGGTTAAAGCTGCAGTATTATGTAAAACAGACTTTTTTTTAGCTTTATATCATGTTACAATTTTATTTCCTCATCAAAAACATACCTGGAGAGTTGTTTTGTTTCTTTCATGCATGTTTGAGAAATCCTTTAATCTCCCATGGCAACCATTCAGCTGTGAGAAGCTTATGATTAGATTTAGCACCACCGATAGGTGCAACTCCTCCTCAGGTATACAGTATTCAATCTACAGTTTATGCCTCGCAGACTAGCTCCTCCAGACTAGCCAGCAGTAATTACTAAATGCCTGGTGGTACTGAGCATCAGCTGAGCTCATGATAGGAGCTACTTTTCAATGAAACGCCGGTACAAACATTGTTAAAGGATTGATAGAGAAGCCATGTTGTGATGAGTTTCAGAAAGAGCAGGAGTTTTTAAAGAAACAGAGACCCAATTTTAAGGCGTTAAATCAAGAAATAAAATATCTGTTAAGTCATATTTTATATAGATGTAGCACTTTTTCAACAACTGAAGGTAACATAGTTACTTGATTATTCTATAAAATGGCACTATGTGACTAGAAGACACACAGTTTAAACATCACAATGCGTCACTTAAATCAATACAGAATCACTTGCATGAGATGGGAATGTATCTTCCTCTGGTTTAAGTTCATGTGTGTTATGAATTAGAGAAAATGAGATGAGTTATTGCTGATTTTGTGGCAGTAGTGTGCATGCTATAATAACAGAACAGACTTTTGTGCTTTGAAAACATGCAGAGCTGTTTGTAGTTGGGGGATGCAGCCTGCACACTGTGATTAAAAAGATAGTTAAAAATCAAGAGTTAGCAAGATTGGTATCCTGAAGTAATGAAACTGAAGAAAAAGGAAAAAAATGTCAATTGTGGTAAAAAATTCTCCTTTATGGAGAATTAATGTTCATTTTTGTTTTTTTTTTTTGTTTTTTGCTGCTGCTGGTTTGAAACCCTGACGGAAAACATAAATTACCGATTACTTTTGATAACCTCGTCTGTTTTTTCCGCCCCTCTGTGGTGCCGCTCTCTGCTGGTTGGCGCTGATCAATTGACTCTGCCTCCTCATCCTCCTCCTCCTCTTCCTCCGTGGTGATACATCAGTCGATATAGCTTTGATTAGCGAGCGGCTAGCTGGACTCACGCTCAGCAGTGGCAGATCCTGTGTTGGCTGCTTTTGATTTCACATGGCGCTCAGCGTGCGCTCATGTGACTGTGTGTCTGTGTTCATGGATGGGAGGAAGACGGCGAGGCGTAACAGAGGGTACCGATTGTGCTGTTTGTTTCTGCTGGTCTCCAGGCCCCAGGCCGGCAAATCGATGCTTGATAAATCCTGAATGTAGCGCCTGTCAGGCTTAAATTGTCTGTTTATCAAAGCCACAAGTCACATGAAACGCAAAGCAAGTGTATTTTATCTGTAAATGCTGCTCTATATAGATCTCTATCTCTGTATACATCCAAAGGAGGAGTAAACTTTGTGAACCGTAGCATAACCATGTTTTATTTACTATGACTGAAGAAGTCTGATCCTTCATGTGGTTCTCCTTTGATTTTGTCTCATCAGGCCATGTTCAGCTTGTGTATGGTGGAGAGCGAGGCAGATGAAGTAACCCTGCAAGGCGTCACCAGTGTTGGACTGAAGCATGCTTTAGATTTCGCCTACACTGGACAGGTGAGCTGCTACAATCGAACTTCTCTGCACTAGAATGCACTTAAAGACACTGTAGTGCTCCCTCCTGAGTACGAACAATTAAAAAGCAAAAAAAGCTTTTTTAAAAGTTATTTTTATTAAGAAGTTGTTTAAAACTTGCTACACTGTGCATAGTTTCCCAGTGATAATGTCAAATGAGATGTTGACCTTTCAAATTTTGCAGCAACTGTTACTACTACTTATCTAACCAGAACTGTCTCTCACCAGCTCCCTCTTTTGTTTAGCTCTTATTGATGCCTTAATTATTGCAAAGGGTGAATATCTCTTAATTTAAAGCGCAGTATAAGAGATTTGGTTTGCAGTCACGGCATCTGAGAAGCTTGAAGTGACTGATTTCACCTTCAATGTTTCAGTATACTAAACTGTTCTAGAGGTAAATGTGAAGCTGCCCTGTAGCTGAAGCTACAGCGGTCATGCAACAGGATGAATATGAATATTACAAAAATTTAATAGATCTACAAAAGTGATGACTGAAAACAAATGAATCAACAAAACAAATGAATTCATTTGTTTTCAGTTAGCAAGTTCTTATGCTATAGCATAAGAACTCTGCTATAGCTTTTCAGAAAAGAGCTAATTCGTTAAAGGATAGATGGAAACACATTTGCTAAATAAGTCACAATATTTAGCTCATAATGTCTGTTTTCACTGTCAGCATGCATTAGATTTGCATTTCTTTTGCTACATTTTTGGACTGCATGTAACATCCCCAGTATTAGTACTAGTACAGCTCATAGTACTGCAAAGGCTGCAAGGCAGTTGACTGGCTTTCTGTCATATAGTGGGACAAAATCCATCCACATCGAAATAAAAAACATGGATACTACAAGTTGTTCCCAATAAAGATGGTTTAGACTTAGACTCAGCTCCTGAGTTTTACATATTGCATAAGCACAGACCTGAGATGTAAATACCTACATTTCTGAATGAGTAAAGATCATATCACTGTGAAATAAATTCTGGTACTCTAACCAACCCCTGGAACTGAAACAGGGTTCCATTTTATTTTTATTTTTATTTTCCCTTTGAGTAAATGAAGCCTTACAGCCCGGAAAGAAATTCTGACTTACAATTTGTAGTTGTTGACCAGTGTGACACATGTCACATAAATAATTCAAAACGCGGGTTTTGCAGATTACAGTTTTAATCTCAGCACCATAAGCTCCCACAGCAGGATTTAAAAGCCACGTAAAAGTGTATAAGGTCTGTCCATCCTTGGCAAGCGGCAGCCAAAAATACAAAAAAACACGTTTCGGACATAAAATGTACATTTAAGAAACAACACAGCATTAGATTTCCGTTGTGAATCTTTAAGACAGTTTTTTGAGAGACATTACTATCCGTCCTTGCTTTCTCACTCTCTCACCGGGAATTGTTAGCGGTGTAATTGTTTGTCCTGACCTTTTCATCACTATGACTGAGCCTCCAGCCACCAGCAGCCAGCGCTGTGGCTTATTTTGCATCCTGAAAAGCTGTGAACTTATTAAATACTACTAATTTTTCCCACGAAAAAGAGCAAAAGACTGTGCCAGTAAGTGGGTCAACTGCAGGCTCACAAGCCGCCCCGTTTCGTTTGGCTCTGCTCCTCTCTGCCTAAAGGAGATGATAGTGCATGAGTCGTTTCCTCACGTTGTAAGTGACAACCTACTAAAAAATCCTTGAGAGAGGGTACAGACCAGCCGCACATATGATGCCGACCTGAAATCCAAAATATTCCGCCCTTGCTTTATCTTCTTCTCCAGGTGAAAGTTCACAACTGGCGAGTACAACACACGACGGATTACACAAGAGCTCCCTAGACTCCTACACTAAAGTAGGCACAATGTTACAAAACTGACTTCTGCTGAGTGAGGCTGAAGTTTTCTAACCATATTAGGTGGCTGGAGTGAGGAGCATGCCAGCAGGATATGAAGAACATTCACTTACAGTCACTTAGAGTCATTACTGACACAGTGGTGCAGGTGTTAGCACTGCTGCCTTCAGTCAAAAAGGTGCTTGGTTTGAATCCTGGTGGAGTTTTTTTCCCCTCAGGTCAAGTCTTCAGCAGCTGCATTTCTTCGTTTTCTATTTTCCCATACTTCCTGTCCCTCTTGAGTTTTTCCCCACTATGTTTCAGTTTTTCAGTTACCAAACACCTTTTTGGCTTCACCTCTACCTGCCTCACTACATTGCAGTCCCCGCTACTAACACAGCAGGCGGCGCTTGGTCCACTCAGGCGTTTTGCACATCTCAATGGTCGCCAAGGGAGATTAAGTGATTTCTCAAACATGCACGAAAGAATCAAATCAATGCTCCAGGTATGTTTTTGATGAGGTAATAACATTATAACATGATGTGAAGCTCAAAAAAGTCGAGTTTCCATAATACTTCCCCTTTAAGTCAAGAAGGATAAGTGACAAAAAATATTGCCCATCGTCTCATTTTTCTAAGTGCATATTTTTGTAATAACTCTTCCTTCCACATAAACTGCGTCACCAACAGTGATGATGAAGGTGAGCTCAGAAAGTTAGAGGCTGAATATATTACTATAAATCTGACTCTAAAAGACAAAAAAACCCTTTTATTTTGCACTTTCCTGAGGTCGGTTGCTTCATAAATAAAAGAAAAATGTTTTTAATAGTCAGAAAGACTTAACTTAAAAGGAAATTGATCATATTCTGTACATCACTTTTTTAGTTCTCCCCTTTAAGAAAAAATACAAAAACTTAAAAAACAATTAAAATATTTTCATCTAGAATTTTTTGTTTCACTTGAGGATAACTTTTAAAGTCTTGAGAAAAAGAAAACTTACTCAGACTTAGAAAACCGAGGCGAGTTTGTTTCTGTAGACTAACTCATTCCCCTGCTCCTTCATCACGATGCTGCCAGCTCTGTACTTACTGGGTTCAGTGTTTTTGTATTTAGGCTCAAAAGAACAAATGTGGTATCGTCTGACCACAGCTCCTTCTCCAGCTGGCTGGACGTTCTCCAACCATCCAGCCGCCACTCCTGCTTTCTCCTGACAGGAAGCATTTAGTTTCATATTTCTGTTGAAGAAAAAAAAAAAAAAAACTACCCGAGTGTCCAGCTCTTCTTCCTAATTCAGGACGTTTCACGAGAATTTGGATTATGACCGGTGATTAGTGCATTTCCGTTCTCTCTCCAAATCGGTGCACAGGCTGCTGTTTAAGCAGAGCGAATAACCTCTTTTTATTGCCCTCTTGTCTGAATACGTTAGCTTCTGAAGCTCATAGATGGTGCGTGTGGTTAACTGGCCTGCAGCCCAGCCCTGCCAGGAAGCCATGCTGTGATGAATGGAAATGTGCAGATGCAGCTAATTGCAAGCAGTGGGAAAATGATACGGCTATGAGAAAAGCTTTGTGGGATTTATTTTCCCCCTTTGGATGCACGTATATCTATAGAAACACTTTAAACAAGTATTTTAATGAATTTGAGGGGTTTAAGTTAGTCTTAAAGTGGTTAAATAGTGTGTTATGAAGCAAAAACTGACTTTGCACATTACTTGGACAACATGCAGAGGAGGGGAGACAGAACATTTGTTCTCAGATCAGTTTCCCCCCCCCCCTCTGCCTCAGGATGAATAAATAATGAGCGGGTTTCAGGAAAAACATGATCGCTACTAGCGCCGTTGAATAACGCTTACCTGTCTACTGTGTCAGCAACATTGAAAAACACGATGCTGAAGTCATTTTTCTCATTTTCACTTTTGATGCAGTCACAGTTATGCTCCTATGTAGGGCAGCACCGCTGAATGGATTATCAAAGATTTCCTCTTGGTTTAGAAAAGCCACCATAGATTAGTCCTCTGTGTGACAGGTTGTTTGGGATGTTGAAGGAACGTTAAATTTGTCGGACCTTGTTGTCTCCCAACACTACCTGGCTCTGCTCTCAGCAGCTTATGAGCATGACTTGGCGAATTTACAAAGTGTTATGCCAGGAAAGAGAGAGTGGCAAGGCAGACATTCATCAGATTAGCCTAGCTTAGCTTCTGGTCACTCAGCTCAAACAGAAAGCAAAGTCAGCATTAGTTTGATGGCTAGTTTAACTTGAATCAGGCCTTGACTTTATGAATAAATAATAAATTAGAGCAAATAGTAGCTCCACGGTTTTACTCCGAGTGTCTGAAAATCTAATGTTTTTTTTTTTTTGTTTTTTTTTTTGGTCCAGATTCTGTTGGAGCCGGCTGTTATCCAGGACGTCCTGTCTGCGGGCAGTCACCTTCAGCTGCTGGAGCTCCTCAGCCTCTGCTCAAACTACCTCATCCAGGTACACACACACACACACACACACACAGGCACATACACATCACATCTTTCCATGTTAAAGGAGATTTTGCGATTACTTCCATTCAAGTTTCATTCATTTCTATAGCCTAACCTTTGACCCTAAGCCTAACCATTAGCAGTACATGCCTAATCGAACTTTGCAAATTTTTTTCAAACAATGATGACTAGTTTATCTATGGTTATTTTAGTTGAAATGTGACATAAATGCTTATGTATTTATATTAAATACTAAGCCTGTTAACTGTGACCCTTCCCCCCGCAGCTAAATTCCTCTGGAGCTGGGTCTGTGCCTAACCCTAAATGTAACCTTAGCTCAGTTTACACCTTAACTACATTGTGCATCCCTTAACTAGGGATGCACAATATATTGGCATTGACATTGGTATTAGCTGATTAGCTGATGTTGTTCATCTAATATATTGGCACAGCAATACTAATATAATATCGGATATTGATATTGGTTAAAATTTTCACATTGGTGCATCACTATGCCTGAACCAAAAAACAGAACTTCAGCTTCAGGACTCCAAAGGACCAGCAGTAGGTCCTCGCAATGTTTTTTTTTTTTTTTTTTTAATGGGCCTTACAAGGTGGGAAATGCTAAAACACACACACACACACACACACACACACACCTCTTTACAATTTTCCATTCTCTGACCCAGCGCTGAATCTAGCCTTACATATTAATAGCTCATGCATAACCACACCCTTAGCTCCTTAACCTGAGCTCAGTTGACTTTTTTTGTGCTAAACCTTTAACGTGGATCCCAGAAATGACACCCTTCCTGATGAGGGCTGGGATTTGGTGCCATGAGGACTACTAATCCTGAATAAATCCTTTTGGTAGCCATGACAAGAACCCATACGTCATATGCACCCCTCCTCTGGCCTAGACTGTAAGCATTACAGTACGATCAAACTGCTGATTAACTTTATTCTTACTAGATGGTTTTGCAATTTCTGTACCTTTATGGATGTGTTAGCTTTTATTAAATATGACGAGATAACAAATATTACCATTGCATATGGCGTTGTCCTGCTATTTCAGTAGTTTTTTTGCTTACTGTTTTTTTATTTATTTTATTGGCATTGCTAATTTTTAGAATTCTCTGAAACTTTTATTCAAAATCAGTAGCTTACACCAAGATTACTAAACTTTAAACACTTTTGGAAGGGACCAGATGTCGATCTCATGGTTTCGTAAGTTTCTCCTTTAATTCATAACATTTGAATCAGTCGATGAATGTATTTTAACTTGACCACATTGGAAAAATCGATTTATCAGGAAGAATATTGTACACCTAAACAGGTCTTGTTCTTTCTTGGGTATAACTTCCAGATGCTTCAAATAATTATGAATATAAACAGCATCGGAATGTCGGGATGGAACCTGGCTCAGGGTCATGACAAAAGCAAAACATCTTGTGAAGATGTTGTTTGGAGACGTTAAAAGCTCACTGACCTCTGAATTTGCAGCCAACCACTTCTACAGTTAAAAACAAAGGTTCAGGTTATGTCTGATCAAATGGTAGTTTATAGAGGATTATACAACATAATGTAATGCATGTTGTAAAATATGTATTCTCTGCATAAATGAACAGAAATATTATTTCATCTTGACAGTTGTGCTGAAATTCCCAAAACAAATCCAAAAATGTTTAGTGAGTTGGTGTTTTTGAATTAATTAGTTTGTTTATGTTTATGTTTTGGTTATGACAAGATATCAGTCATAGCTCCAACGTGCCACCTGGTGGTTGTAAACCGTCATTACAGGAAAAGCGTGTTTGACTTGCTAACGGAGTGACTCTTCTGCTTTAACTAAATGCTGGGTTCAGTATAAGCAATTGCTAATAAACTTTTAAATTGTAGATATTAAAATATTGCTGAAGACTGATTTATCTGAAGAACTTATTCCACATTTACTACAACCTGCGTAGATATTATTTTTTGCAAAGTAGTTCAACAATTCTTTGTGTTTTATGGCAGCTTTACTAACATAAAGATCTTCTATAGACACTCTCAAATAATGTTCAGTAGTTTTTATTAGTATTGGTTTATACTAAAAGTAAATAAATTGGTTAATTAAAATGAAAAACAATCTTGAGATTTGACATCTTTTTGTATCACCTCAGTGTCATGTGACATTGTTCTAATGACCGATTCATCTTTTTTCAAGTCAAACTAAGGTTAAATTGATAGAATAGGTGGTAATTTGCATTTATTATATTAAAATGTCCAGTTCAGCAAGACTTAAACCAGCATTAACACCTAAAAATAAAAGTTTCAATGGGTTCAGGAGAACCTTTCTCAGTCTGTGGATGACTGGATGTAATTGAGATTAAGCAACGAATCCTGAATCTGCCTTGGCAAGATGATGATGTTGGCAGATTAATAAATAAAACAGGAAAATGACTAACTGAGGAAAAAAGTATTTTTCCACAGTCACCTATGATGTGAAGTACATGTTAAGTAAAAGAACAGGGTAGATGGCCTGTTCTACAATAATTTAACTCTAATTTTAATTACATACAGTAATCTCATCTAATTTGATCTACTTTCCTGGTTAGATCAATCCAAAAAGATTTGTTGATGAAGTTGTTTTCCCGGAGGACAATCACTGCTGTTCCAAATCAGAAATAAAGCGTCCCTCTTTTGGCCAGCAGGGGGCTCCCAGGAGCGCTTTGCTTCTCACAGAATATACCCCGCTCTCAAAACTTCAAATTGTTGTTGCATTTATTAATAAAAGCGTTACTTCAAGGTTAATAAATAGCAAATGTAAAATTCTTTCAAATTTAAAATATTAATTTACTTAGGACTTTAAACAACTGACAAGTCTAAATATTACGATGTATACAGAAAAAAAATGTTCATGAATTTTAGATGCAAAATTCATGAATATGAATTTTCCGGAGTTTTCTGTAAAATGGACAGTCTTCACTTGGCATATACTTTTCAACCTTCAGAATACCACGCCATGGTCAGTTTGTATGCATGTTTTGTTTACTTTGCATTAAAAAAAGCTTCTACAAATCATTTTTTAAATAAAAACTTTCACAATCTGTCATAAAAGCTATCCACGTCACACTTTGTTTGAAAACAGACCCATATTTGATGTAAATGGATTTTCATGGACACCCAGAAGGTGGCAGTGTTGCCTCATTCTCTCTTATCCCCTTTCCCCCCCCCCCCCCAGCTGCCTTCATCTGAAATGTTGTCATGCCATTACAGTGAACACAATGCGTACAGTATTTTTAAGCCGTGCATCCTTTAGCCTCTCCCTGATCCTCCTGCAGGAGCTGAGCGGCGTGAACTACCTGGAGCTGTACCGCGTGGCCGACCTCTTCCATCTACCCGCCCTGGAGGAGGCCGTGGTGGGCTTCCTGGTGGAGCATCTGTCTGAGCTGAGGCAGAACCGACAAGACGAGGCCCTGCAGCTGCCCTACCGCCTCCTCAGGGAGGTGCTGAAAAGTGACCGCCTCACCTCCCTGAGCGAGGAGGAGATATGGAAGGTAGTGTCTGAGTCAGGGTAGACAGTCGTTTCACACTCGCATTACTGCCCGAATAGTTTAACACAAATACAGCAGTGTCCTGAAAGTTTTTATGGATTCCAAGGGGTATGCAACCTTTAAGACCTACAGAGCCATTTTGCTCTCAGGACAGCCCAATAAAACTTGCATAGAGCCACAAATGTCACGTAATTTTTTTAAAAATAGGATAACTTTGACAAATCTCTTCTTTAGGAAATTTCTTGTCATTTTTAAATAATGTATTTGTATTTTAAGGTTTTACAATAAGGATATACATAAAAGAGGATATTCATCTTTAACAGCTGAATGGTTGATGTGGAGGTTAAAGGATTTCTCAAACATGCATGAAAGAATCAAACCAACACTTCTGGTATGTTTTTGATTAGGGAACATTAGGGAATACTTAAGGCAGTGTTATGGTTGAAAAAGCCACTTGCAGATCCACTGCCACAGGTTGCAGACCCCTGGGGTGGACCAACACAAGGTACCAAAATGGTACCAGGTCATGGTCTTCTAACATCTGATGAAGACAATCATCTCCACAGCATGATGCTACCACCAACAGTTTTCACATTGGGAATGTGCGATATTGGCTTTCTGCCAAACACAACATTTTTGAATTACACATGTGAACTCCATTTACCAACAAGGTGACCTCTAGTGGTAATTAAGATGCGTTCACACCAGCCCTGTTTAGTATGCTTTAATTGAACTCTAGTTCGTTTGTCTAGAACGTCTGGATCACTTGGGGAGGCGTGAATGAGTAATCAAACTGATGCTAACTCTGGTCCACCTAAAAATTTAGACCTCGATCTGGTTGATGTGAACTCTTGCGCGGGTCAATTGTATATGTGAACCCCAAGCAGACCTGATACTGCTCCAAAAGCAAGAAGAGGACTAAGGCGCAGGGCATTCTGGGTAAATGCAACCAAAACAAGAGCGCGAGACTAGCACTACCTGGAGAAATGGCTCCTGCTATTGGAAAGACAAAAGAGAAATCCTATAACCGCTAAAACCTGACACCACTCCATTGTTGTTTTCGTTTCGTGAAACAGAAAGTTGCAGTCAGTGTCTTCTGAGGTTTTTGTGTCTCTCCCTTCAGTGGTTCTTACTACAGCGCCTCCACAGGCGACGGCGGAAACGGGTTTCTCAAAGAGCTTGGCTCTCAGTGCAGTACGAAAGCAAATATGTAACAAATGTTGCAGTTTTGCTTCTCCAATATAACAGAGTCCACCAGAGTATCAGCTGTGAAAACACAACATTTTATGTAACACTAACGAGGGTTAAATTCTAAAACATGTCACTCTTTTCTGATTTTTAGTTGGAAAACATTTTGCATAAAATACAGTGAAGCTTCTGGTTGCGATGTGAGGAAAAATGCAGAAAAGTCACAGAATAGTTTTGCAAGGCAGGAGAGCAGAGGATTAAAAGCAATCAGAGAGATTTGGTTGAACCCTGCCTTTCTCTGCTGAAGCATTGATATTGATGAGGCCACGCCGTAGTGAGCGGCATGTCTGAATTTGCGTGCACAGGTGCAGGCAGACTGTCAGTCCGCATAAACAGGCGTGTGTGCGTGATGAACTGGATTGTGGAGTAAGATGGCGGTGCAGGATGGGGACTTGCCATTTTGACTGTTCATTTGCACCAATCAGCCCCCACACCACCTCCTCCTGCCCCACCTTCATTCTTTCTCTCCCTCTCTTCTCTGATTAGGCCCACCGCGGCTCCATCAGGGCCCCCAATCCCCCAGCTGTCACTCGGCCGCCCGTCTGATTGAAAACAATCAGGCCTCTGATGGTACAATTACCCTGACCCTTTAGCCAGCCGCCGCTGCCATAATCAGCCTCTGATTAGGCTGCTTTGGGCCTCCTTCACTTCGCTCAGAAGGTTAATTTGGGCATCAGACGGAGAGGAGAACGGCAAGCGCCGTCCGAAAGGGTGGGTGCCCGAGACGGCGAGGTTGGACAGGGTTTGGGGTGCGGGGGTACGTGCCAGTACCGGACCGATAACACCTCAGCCTGTCAATCATCGTCACTCAGAGTTTTCTCTTCCGCCGTGGAAATCGCATTTTCTCCACCTTTTGTATTTTTCCCCCTCTCTCTCTTTTTTTTGCCATCCTTTGCTCTATGTTTCCGTAGCGTCCCCCTCCTCATCTTTCACACACACACACACACACACACACACACACACACACACACACACACACACACACACACTCTTTCTGTCTCTCTTTTGCACTTTCTCTTTCTGTGCAGAGAGAGGAAGGAGGGAGTTGATTTATTCTGTGCCCTGAGGAAGTTGTGTGATGCAGCGTGACCTTCACAGTCAGCTGCTGCGGCGCGCTCATGCTCGCACACTGTCACTTCACGGAGATGAGGAGGAGAGAGGCGGAGAGTGTGTGTGTGTGTGTGTGTGTGTGTGTATGTATGTGTTGGGGGGAAGGAGTGGAGCGACAACTGGGGAAGAGGAGGAAGAGAAGTGCAGGAGAGTGACAGAGATGCCACAAAAAGACAGACAGAGGCCCTTACTTGTCGCATATTCGCACCTTTAAAGTAAATCGAAGTGTTTTTGTTTAATCATCACACATCAGATCTCGTGTCAGAACTCAAGATGTGTTATTATTGGGTCTTTTCCAGATTTATCCGTGGACATTTTTATTTCCCATACCCGTTTCTCCCCCCTCACCCTTCCAAAATAAAAAATCACTGCCTTTTTTTTCCCGCTCTAATAAGTTCCCAGGTTCCACACGGTGGGTGCTAAGGCCCACTTTGTTTTCCTAATAATGGTATCAGTAATCTCCAGTCGGCTCGGCCCACACTCGCAGCTAAAGAACCTTCCACCACTCGGCAGGTTCAATTAAAGCCCTTCCCGCCTGCTTCCCAGTTCACCTGCGTTAAACAAAGCAGGGCCGCCTGTGGATATTTACAGTCTGTATATTGAATGCTGCTGATTAATAAATGCTTGTGTGTTGGCAGCTATGGCTGCAGCGCCGGCTCGCCGCAGTCCATCAGCTTCTTGAAGAAAACAAAACAAAACAAAAAAAAGATCTGATTAACAGCCCTTGAGACATTTCTCTTTCCCTTCTTCTTGCTTGGTTTCCTTTACCTCCTTTTCATAATTCTGTCCTCCTTCAGTAACCTCTCGTCTTTCCTTCTCTTTCCTTTAATGAAGAAAACAGGGAAGTCCAGAAAGCTATTCGTTTGAAATCTTAAAATAAGCAATGAATAAGTACATTTTTCCTTACAACTAGACCAGATTGAACATGTTTTAATTAAAAGTGCATACAAGAAGCTTTTTCAAGGTCCAAGCCTTTTTGGCGCCCTTGGCGAACCACCTTACTGGTGACTAGCCCCTCGACAAAGTTGTAGACCGTGTGGGGGGTGTGGTGGGTGTGGTGGGGGGTTCTGTTGAGTATTAGCCAAACGATGAGCGATGTATTCGGCATCACAATCCAATACTTTGGTTAATGTTTAGTTGCAGTATTCAAAAAGGTCAAAGTATGGAAAAACTAAAACTACCACTACGACTTATAAAAACTAAACAGAAACTAAGCAAAATTTAACTAAGAACTAATGAAAACTTTCAAACAGACTCTAAAAGCTAAGTAAAGCTAAGTGAATTAGACAAAAAGTCAATGAAATAAAACTGTAATGAAAAAACTGAAACTATTATAACCCTGGTTTGAAACTTTAGTTTAAATGCAGTCCTTTACCTTAATTCTGCGATTTCCATGAGGCTGCAAACGTTTCCAGATCCGACATCTTCTTGGCATGAATTCTGATCCAGTTCTCCTTCCTCTCTGTTCCAGTTGCTCGTTCTCTGGCTGGAACACGACTACCGCTACCAGTACGCCGAGGATCTCCTGCAGCACGTCCGCTACGGCCTGATGGACGTCCCCACCCTGCACCACCTCGCCAACAGCCACCCCCTGGTTCAGTCCTGCCCCACCGCTGCCGCCCTGGTGGACGAAGCCCTGGACTACCACCACGCCACCTTCGCTCAGCCCCTCCGCCAGTCATCCAGCACCAGGCCTCGTTTCCAGTCGCTCACCCTTTACATAGCGGGGGGCAGGAAGCGGGAGGTGAGCAGAGTCAGGGAGCTGCGCTACTTCAACCCATCGGCGCAGGAGCACGTGCGGGTGGGAGGGGGGTCCAACTGGAGCGAGCTGGCGCCCATGCCCACCGGGCGCAGCCATCACTGCATCGCCGTGATGGGCGACTTCCTGTTCGTGGTGGGCGGCGAGGTGGAGCACGCCACGGGCAGGACGTGTGCCGTGAGAACCGCGTGTAGGTACGACCCCAGGGGCAACCGGTGGATTGAGATCGCCCCGATGAAGGCGTGCAGGGAACACTTTGTCCTGGGAGCTCTGGGTCAGTACCTGTATGCTGTGGGCGGCAGGAACGAGCTGAGGCAGGTGCTACCCTCGGTGGAACGCTACTGTCCAAAGAGGAACAAATGGATGTTCGTCCAGCCCTTCGACCGCTCACTGTCCTGCCATGCCGGGTGTGTGGCTGATGATCTGCTCTGGGTCTCAGGTACACAGTGATAGGGAAAGGAAGAAATAAAGTACTCTCTAATATGAACAACCGTTATCTCAGGTGTAAATGTACAGTTGTCCAGAAATATTTTCACTTCTTTTAAGGGGGCAGTATTATGTAAAATCTACTTTTTTGAGCTTCACATTATGTCATAATATTGTCAAGACCATACCTGGGGTGTTGTCTTGATTCTTTCATTCATGTTTGAGAAATTTTTTAATCTCTCGTGACAACAATTGAGCTGTGCAAAACAACTAGGAGGAGGCACCGCCTTCAAGGACACAGGTCCTCCTCGCAGCTGAAGTTTCCAAGCTTCTGCCTCACAGAGCAACCCTCTCCTCCGTGACTCCCCCACTCAGCTCCTTCAGACTAGCCAGCAGCAATTAGCAAACATCTGATTGAACTGCACATTTGCTGAGCTAATTACAGGAGCCACTTCTCAGTACAACACCGATAAAAACGTTAAAGGGTTAATAGAGGAGTGGTGTTGTGATGACTTCCTGAAGGTGGAGTTACAGAAAGAGAATGAGTTTTTAAAGAGGCAGAGGCCCAATTTCAAGGCGTTAAGTTACGAAGTCAAATTTCTTTTGAGTCACATTTCATATTTAGTTATTTTTTAACAACTTAAGGTAACATAAAATGGCACTATTTACCTGGAAAGTACATTATATTGTCCCTTTAAACCTTTTGACATTTTTCTACCTTACAGCCACACGTCATTTTACCTTACTGCGATTTTATATGATTGTGCAACACAAAAGAAGCTATATCGGAGAAGGTGAAGGATAATATGTGCTTTTCATAAATAATTCACTGATATTTAAGTCTTGTCGGGTTTATTTTTTGCATAGTTACATTTCAGCAATAAACCATTTCAACCTGAATGAAGTTGCTGAGATGAATGACAACATGGTGTTGTATGGAACGTTGCAACCATTTTGTACCCAAAACACCCAAACCCACAAAAATTCAAAATCACAAAGGCACCCATAAAATTTTTTATTCAAAATATTTGCACTTATTTGTGTTGCTCTAACAAGTACAATCCAAAAGAAAACATAATTGGGATATCTCGAAGAGTACAAATGCGTTTTGCAATGCTCTCTAACTCTGCACGATCACACATAGACACACTTTGGACTTTTCAGACTTCTGCAAGCATATTTCTGCTATTTTTTGTTACGCATAAAAATGAAGTTCAGCATGTCGCACTTTTGCATTTGCAGGCGGAGTTACAAACACGGCACAGTACCAGAATCGGCTCATGGTGTACGACCCGGAGCAAGTGAGTATCAGACAGCTAAATCAGGCACTTAGAAATATTTAAGAAAAATGATGGAGTCTAGAACATCACTTAATTTTCTTTTTGGATCAAAATGTTTTTTGTTTTTTTTTTTTGTCTTTTTTTAATAGTTCATATATCTTTGCTTTGCTGTCCAGTAAAAATGATGTGAACTGTCCTGTACCTGCTCCAAGTCAGTGGCAAACTGGAGAAATGGGATGCGCCTTCATTTCTACTGCATAAACATGTGACTTGTGTTGTTAGCGGTTATCAGTCCTGTAGCAGACATTGCTCTGACATTAGTTCACTACAGGAAGAAAAAAAATGTAATGTTCAATAATGTATTTACCAGTATACTAAAAGCACAATATACAGTATTAGTTGGTATATGTAGGTGTTTCAAAAAAAATATCATAAATAAGTACTTGGAGTATTTTGATGCCTATTTTGACTTTAGTACAATAATACTTCACGGGGTTGACATAGAATACATAAAACTATGAATTATAGTGTTATGTCTTGTCAATGATGATATATTTTAAACTATTTTTTCTTATAATAAAAATACATGATCATGCATTAAATTCTACTTTATGCTAGCTGGTAAAGTATAAAGACACAAAAATCTTAGCAGTTAAAAAAAAATATTATCAATATTTAACAAAATCAAGCCCACAGAACACCCTTACCCCACTCAGCTCCTCCAGACTAGCAGCAGCAGCAGCAATTGGCAAACACTGAGCATCTGCAGAACTCCTAAGAACAGTGACATGTTATGATGACGTGCTGAAGGGGGCATGTCAGAACAGGTAGGAAGTTCTTAAAGAGACAGAGGCCCAATTTCAAGGCATCAGATACAGACTATGATGCAAAGTCAGATTGCTTTGAAGTTACTGATAAATACAGAACTCTCTCATAACTGAAGGCAACATAGTTACTTGACTGTGCTACGAAAAGAGTTTATGGACATGCAAGATTCAGACGTTCAAACTGACATTTCCTACAAGATCGGAGACCGAGTATAACTCAACATGATCCAGCTGTGAATAGATCTACTGCTTCCATCATCAAACCTGACGATTTGTTTGATGGGCTAGTATTTATAGACCTAAACAAAAACCCCACAAAATATATCCAAACTCCCATTCTCTTGTCCACTTTTCAAAACTAACTCAAACAGCTCAACACGTTGGGCTGTAAAGAGCAGCGTTTCTGTCTGTGCAGCTTTGAAGAAGCCTGGACTGTGTGTGTGTGTGTGTGTGTGTGTGTGTGTAGCACAGAGGCATGCAGTGTGTATCCGCGAAAAGGTGCACATCCATATGGGTCTGCGTTTCCACTTCCAAGCGAGGGAATGAAGAAGCGAGAGGTAGAAAAAGGGAGAGAGTCTCATTTGTATTCACCACGAATCTACATTCACCTGCCAGAGCAACAGCAACCCCCCACCCACTCTACCCTCAACAGATGGCCACCCGTCAGCTCCCAGCAGACACACACACACACACACTCACTCTCATTCTCTCCCTCAATCAAGTACGCACACACACACCGACGCACTGGCACAAAATAAGCTTCCCCACACTTAGTGAGATGAGCAGGGATCCTTGGTGTAAAATGGAGTGGATGAAACATATGATTAGAAATAGGGAGGGAAGTCATTAGTACAAAGCAGAGCTCCAGTGTCACGTTATTTATCTAGCACTGAGCATACATCAATTACCCATGCATGGATATGCTTAAATATTAATCCCCTCATTCGTCCTCGTTCCCTCTCCCACCTTTCTCCCTCTGTTCGCCACCCGTCAGGATCAGTGGCTGGCCCGCAGTCCCATGCTGCAGCGGCGCGTGTACCACGTCATGGCGGCCGTGAGGAGGCAGCTCTACGTGCTCGGCGGCAACGACCTGGATTACAACAACGACCGCATCCTGGTGCGTCACATCGACTCCTACAGCATGGACCTGGACCAGTGGACCCGCTGCTCCTTCAGCCTCCTCACAGGTGGGCGAGGGCGCCGTCGCAGTGGGCGGGGAGGCCGTGTCCACGTAGAGATAATTACAGAGCGGACAATAAACAGGCTATCGAACCGCACGAGCGGCGGTTGTTTGTGCGCAAACAGAAACGGTTTGTTGCAGTAATCTGTTCCTTCTAGCGTCTCTCAAAAAAAAAAAAAAAAAAAAAAAATTCAGGTCAGGAAATAGAACCAAATCTCACTCCGAGTTAAACTTTCCTCTCCTCTTTTTGCTCTGAGGGGAAAATGTAGCAATCATGAGAACCTTCATGTCTGTCATCCTCAGGTCAAAACGAGTCTGGAGTGGCCGTCCATGATGACAGGATTTATGTGGTAGGAGGGTACTCCATTTGGACCAACGAGCCTTTGGCATGCATCCAGGTGAGAGCTGTGACTGCTGAACGTGATTTCAGCCGCAGTGTTTACTTTTAGAAACATGTGGCTCATTAAATGCACAATCTGACTGATTGTCTACGTGCTGCATTCAATAACTGGCTGCAACACGGAGAGAGGTTATTTTTTTTATCCGAGTCTAAATTTAAGCTGTGCATTTTTAAGCTGTCCTAACAGCAGTTAGAGCGCTGGTGAGAAGAGCTGCTCTCCACTTTTATATCTTGCAGGACTTGCTACTAATCCATATAAACTCCATCAATAATCTGGACCAAAGTGTCGACCGCTGTGAGTCGGAAGCTGAAATGTCTGCAAAGAAACTAGAGCAGAGTAAATACAAAAATGAAGTTAGTTACTATATGACAAAACACCATTTCATTTTTAAAAAACGCAAAACATCTCATAACATTTATCTTTTAGTGGAAATGTTTACCTGTTTGAAGTTTGAACTGAAAGCCTCACTGACTGAACCATTCACACTGATTTCTAATATTTATTTTTCTACCACAGGCCAGAAACATAACTGGATGAAACAACACACATCTAGGAAAGCTGCTAAATTAAAAACTTTCACTCAAGATCAACAGTTATAATAATAAATCTGCAGTCAGCTCTAGTGGCCACTTTTTGTTTGTTTCTCTTCACTGAAGCAAACCGGAAACGCTTCAAGTACGACGATAAATTGTAGCGTTGATTTTGTGATTAATTATAATATTGTTTTCTGAGACCATATTTGTAATGCTATAGTAATGCTAGCTTGCATTCTCAAAGATCAATAAACTCTAATTTTGTTTAAAAGGAAACAAACACTGGACACTTGAACTGGAAGATATTTAAAATCTCCAAAACAAAAATGAAAAATAAAACCATAAATAAAATGCTTTATGACAGCTCTGTAAAGAAAATTTCCCTTGAAAATAATCATCAGGATGGAAATTATCTAGCTGATTTTAATTGATCATGCAATTAATTGCAACAGACTTATGTACATTTCTGTCATTAAACCCCAACAAAGCACCTTAAAAGTTTGTGTTGATTATGAAAAACTTGAAGGAAATATAAATACTTTCTCAAGCTACAGTAACTCCTCATTACACTGACTGCTGCCATGGCAATAAGCCATATTAAAGGATCCCCGTACTGCTAGGCTGTCATAACAAATTTTGCATTTTCTGATAAATCGCACCAGAAGTTATTGCAATAAATTATAACATTATTGTTTTGAAACCATTTTCAGGTTATATAAAGTTAATGACATAATAATGTAAGAACACATTCTAATGAACATTTAACACTGGAAAACATTTTAAATGAACAAAAATAAATAAAACAGAAACAAAACAAAACTGTCCTTTAAAAAAAGGGCTAGTTGAGACCAAAGCACCAAACTGAAGACTTTTGTCATGCAGCTTTTAATAGGAAAAAAAAAGAGAAAAACAATCAATCATGCAAATGGAAATTATTGAGGTTGTTTTAATTTATCATGTGATTAACTGATTTATTGCTTATTGCAACAAGCTTTGGTACTACAGAATGAATTTCCTGTTTCAGGTGCTGGACCTGAGCATGGAGGGGAAGGAGGAGGTTTTCTACGGACCGACACTGCCTTTCGCCTCAAATGGGATTGCAACCTGTTTCCTCCCAGCTCCTTATTTCACCTGCCCCAACCTCCAGACGCTACAAGTGCCCCATCACAGGATAGGTGCTGTGTAGCTCACTGACTTGGGAAACGTCTGAGAACCAGCCGATGGATCAATCGGCGCTTGCAAACCAGAATGAGGAAAAACAGCCAGTAAAGAGAACAGGCTGCTCTAGCGTGGGTGTAAGACGGGAAGCCGCGCCGCTTCTTAAAGCTGTTCCTCCTGCATTAAGACCGGGACATCATTCAGACTCAGTGGAAGGTCCGTCACCTCTGTTGAGATGGACGGGGTAAATATAGTTGAGCGGTCCGACTAGCCACAGGAAACGGAAAGTTGCTGGAACCAATAATAGGGCTGTAAGTTTGTTTCCTACCCAGCGAAAAAAAACACTAAAAAAAGTCAACAATGTCCATCGATTCCCGTTGCAAGTTTCCTAGGCGGACCCAGATGAACATGTTGCAGAGGCAACGCTTGAATTTTTTTTTTAATCCCCTAAATGATGTGAATTTGACAACAGATTCAACATACAGAATGTAGCTGCGTTTCCATTAAAAGTGTGCGCAAAACTTTTGTTGAANTATGGACATGCAAGATTCAGACGTTCAAACTGACATTTCCTACAAGATCGGAGACCGAGTATAACTCAACATGATCCAGCTGTGAATAGATCTACTGCTTCCATCATCAAACCTGACGATTTGTTTGATGGGCTAGTATTTATAGACCTAAACAAAAACCCCACAAAATATATCCAAACTCCCATTCTCTTGTCCACTTTTCAAAACTAACTCAAACAGCTCAACACGTTGGGCTGTAAAGAGCAGCGTTTCTGTCTGTGCAGCTTTGAAGAAGCCTGGACTGTGTGTGTGTGTGTGTGTGTGTGTGTGTGTAGCACAGAGGCATGCAGTGTGTATCCGCGAAAAGGTGCACATCCATATGGGTCTGCGTTTCCACTTCCAAGCGAGGGAATGAAGAAGCGAGAGGTAGAAAAAGGGAGAGAGTCTCATTTGTATTCACCACGAATCTACATTCACCTGCCAGAGCAACAGCAACCCCCCACCCACTCTACCCTCAACAGATGGCCACCCGTCAGCTCCCAGCAGACACACACACACACACACTCACTCTCATTCTCTCCCTCAATCAAGTACGCACACACACACCGACGCACTGGCACAAAATAAGCTTCCCCACACTTAGTGAGATGAGCAGGGATCCTTGGTGTAAAATGGAGTGGATGAAACATATGATTAGAAATAGGGAGGGAAGTCATTAGTACAAAGCAGAGCTCCAGTGTCACGTTATTTATCTAGCACTGAGCATACATCAATTACCCATGCATGGATATGCTTAAATATTAATCCCCTCATTCGTCCTCGTTCCCTCTCCCACCTTTCTCCCTCTGTTCGCCACCCGTCAGGATCAGTGGCTGGCCCGCAGTCCCATGCTGCAGCGGCGCGTGTACCACGTCATGGCGGCCGTGAGGAGGCAGCTCTACGTGCTCGGCGGCAACGACCTGGATTACAACAACGACCGCATCCTGGTGCGTCACATCGACTCCTACAGCATGGACCTGGACCAGTGGACCCGCTGCTCCTTCAGCCTCCTCACAGGTGGGCGAGGGCGCCGTCGCAGTGGGCGGGGAGGCCGTGTCCACGTAGAGATAATTACAGAGCGGACAATAAACAGGCTATCGAACCGCACGAGCGGCGGTTGTTTGTGCGCAAACAGAAACGGTTTGTTGCAGTAATCTGTTCCTTCTAGCGTCTCTCAAAAAAAAAAAAAAAAAAAAAAAATTCAGGTCAGGAAATAGAACCAAATCTCACTCCGAGTTAAACTTTCCTCTCCTCTTTTTGCTCTGAGGGGAAAATGTAGCAATCATGAGAACCTTCATGTCTGTCATCCTCAGGTCAAAACGAGTCTGGAGTGGCCGTCCATGATGACAGGATTTATGTGGTAGGAGGGTACTCCATTTGGACCAACGAGCCTTTGGCATGCATCCAGGTGAGAGCTGTGACTGCTGAACGTGATTTCAGCCGCAGTGTTTACTTTTAGAAACATGTGGCTCATTAAATGCACAATCTGACTGATTGTCTACGTGCTGCATTCAATAACTGGCTGCAACACGGAGAGAGGTTATTTTTTTTATCCGAGTCTAAATTTAAGCTGTGCATTTTTAAGCTGTCCTAACAGCAGTTAGAGCGCTGGTGAGAAGAGCTGCTCTCCACTTTTATATCTTGCAGGACTTGCTACTAATCCATATAAACTCCATCAATAATCTGGACCAAAGTGTCGACCGCTGTGAGTCGGAAGCTGAAATGTCTGCAAAGAAACTAGAGCAGAGTAAATACAAAAATGAAGTTAGTTACTATATGACAAAACACCATTTCATTTTTAAAAAACGCAAAACATCTCATAACATTTATCTTTTAGTGGAAATGTTTACCTGTTTGAAGTTTGAACTGAAAGCCTCACTGACTGAACCATTCACACTGATTTCTAATATTTATTTTTCTACCACAGGCCAGAAACATAACTGGATGAAACAACACACATCTAGGAAAGCTGCTAAATTAAAAACTTTCACTCAAGATCAACAGTTATAATAATAAATCTGCAGTCAGCTCTAGTGGCCACTTTTTGTTTGTTTCTCTTCACTGAAGCAAACCGGAAACGCTTCAAGTACGACGATAAATTGTAGCGTTGATTTTGTGATTAATTATAATATTGTTTTCTGAGACCATATTTGTAATGCTATAGTAATGCTAGCTTGCATTCTCAAAGATCAATAAACTCTAATTTTGTTTAAAAGGAAACAAACACTGGACACTTGAACTGGAAGATATTTAAAATCTCCAAAACAAAAATGAAAAATAAAACCATAAATAAAATGCTTTATGACAGCTCTGTAAAGAAAATTTCCCTTGAAAATAATCATCAGGATGGAAATTATCTAGCTGATTTTAATTGATCATGCAATTAATTGCAACAGACTTATGTACATTTCTGTCATTAAACCCCAACAAAGCACCTTAAAAGTTTGTGTTGATTATGAAAAACTTGAAGGAAATATAAATACTTTCTCAAGCTACAGTAACTCCTCATTACACTGACTGCTGCCATGGCAATAAGCCATATTAAAGGATCCCCGTACTGCTAGGCTGTCATAACAAATTTTGCATTTTCTGATAAATCGCACCAGAAGTTATTGCAATAAATTATAACATTATTGTTTTGAAACCATTTTCAGGTTATATAAAGTTAATGACATAATAATGTAAGAACACATTCTAATGAACATTTAACACTGGAAAACATTTTAAATGAACAAAAATAAATAAAACAGAAACAAAACAAAACTGTCCTTTAAAAAAAGGGCTAGTTGAGACCAAAGCACCAAACTGAAGACTTTTGTCATGCAGCTTTTAATAGGAAAAAAAAAGAGAAAAACAATCAATCATGCAAATGGAAATTATTGAGGTTGTTTTAATTTATCATGTGATTAACTGATTTATTGCTTATTGCAACAAGCTTTGGTACTACAGAATGAATTTCCTGTTTCAGGTGCTGGACCTGAGCATGGAGGGGAAGGAGGAGGTTTTCTACGGACCGACACTGCCTTTCGCCTCAAATGGGATTGCAACCTGTTTCCTCCCAGCTCCTTATTTCACCTGCCCCAACCTCCAGACGCTACAAGTGCCCCATCACAGGATAGGTGCTGTGTAGCTCACTGACTTGGGAAACGTCTGAGAACCAGCCGATGGATCAATCGGCGCTTGCAAACCAGAATGAGGAAAAACAGCCAGTAAAGAGAACAGGCTGCTCTAGCGTGGGTGTAAGACGGGAAGCCGCGCCGCTTCTTAAAGCTGTTCCTCCTGCATTAAGACCGGGACATCATTCAGACTCAGTGGAAGGTCCGTCACCTCTGTTGAGATGGACGGGGTAAATATAGTTGAGCGGTCCGACTAGCCACAGGAAACGGAAAGTTGCTGGAACCAATAATAGGGCTGTAAGTTTGTTTCCTACCCAGCGAAAAAAAACACTAAAAAAAGTCAACAATGTCCATCGATTCCCGTTGCAAGTTTCCTAGGCGGACCCAGATGAACATGTTGCAGAGGCAACGCTTGAATTTTTTTTTTAATCCCCTAAATGATGTGAATTTGACAACAGATTCAACATACAGAATGTAGCTGCGTTTCCATTAAAAGTGTGCGCAAAACTTTTGTTGAAAAAAAACAAAAGCAAAACAAAAAACATTTTCGCAATTGTTGCATTAACATTAAATGGGAAATGCAATTAAAATCACACGTGAATAAGTTTGTTCACATAAGTCATTCAGAAACATTCTCCTACCACTTCCTGTTGTCTTCTTCCTTGTTTTTCCACCAGTAGTAACAGCCGACCGTTGATCATGTGGTTCGTGTTGTGTGGGGGAAAAAAAAAAAAAAAAGCATTCCGTCGCAGTTTTGTGAAATGAACTAATTTTGGTGCTGCTGAAAAATCACTTCATCTTAGCGCAAAAACTTAACCTAAAACCTGCCCAGGTTTGTGGGGTTTTTTTCCGAAATTGGGTTGTTTTCATTCATATAATTTAATTATTAACATTCAGTCATTCCAATTTGCACAACTATACGGTCAATGGAAACGCAGCTGGTGTGTGTGAGCTATTGAGGCTTTTATTTTACGCTCAGGACCCGAAGACTGTTTGTGTTTTTAAATGAATGTCTGGACATTCAATCATGTAATACTTATTATTCTGCATTGTCAAACATTTGCTTTTACTAAAAGAGAAAGAGAGAGGGAAAAAAAAGTGCTTGCACATCCCTCATGTATCCGAAGCAACACGTCTGCAAGAATATACGGAAGAAACCGCAGAATAAAGATGCTACTTAAAGGACACCAAAGCTTGGTTGTTGGCGATTCTTTATGGAGTTACAGATAATTTTATGCAGATATTAAAACATTCTCACATTCCATGTGCTTTCCTCTCATACTGCTGCCATCGCAGGACAAAGCTTGCAGCACCCACCCCCACCGGGTGAGACGTTCCGCAGTCGAGATGAGGCAGAAAAATGACTAGCAATGACAGAAAATGGGACTTGGGTGATTGTGGATGACAAGAGTGAGACTTCACGTGATTAGGAGCGAGCCAAATCCAGATTGCAAGAGATTGCTGCAACTTAGAGAAGGCAAGAATGAGAGGATCGGAACAAACAGTTCCCTCCATTCTCTCCCTCTCCGCTTTTCTTTTCTTTTTTTTTTTCCGAAGTCCAGAACTACTTGGAGCTCGCCCACGATTGTCATGATATCTGCGAATTAGGCCAGAGACGGATCCTGATGGTTCACATTCTTTGCTACTCAGATATCAGAGGTGAGGATTTCTCTTTAAATGTAGGAAATGTCAGAATGGAAAGCTAGACCTTTCTTCTTTTTCTTTTTTTTTTTTACAATGTGTGCATTATGTACACTTCTGAAAATGTTCAGGTTCCACCTATTATGCCTCTTAAAATGTTCTTGTTATTTCAGTGACGTGATGGATTGTCCAGTTAACTACAAACACACTTAAGAAAGTTCGATTTCTCCCAGATGAAAAGGTTTGTTAGAGGAAAAACTCTGAGTCTCTCTCCAAACTGCTGATTTCCTCCTGCCCACTTTGTCCAAGCAGGGACAGCAGCTTCATGTATGCACTCCTGCAACACAGAAAGATGTGTCACATCACAATAACAATAATATTATATATTTAAAAAAATCCCTGACTTCCTGTATAGACAGCTTATAAATAGCTTAATAGCTGTGAAAAATGTGCCTACTTGACTTCCTCTGTGATTCATAGAGCTCACCTCAGGCCGATGTTCTTGCCCAGGCCCCGTTTGTGTTCGGTGCTCCTCAGACTGAGAGTCAGGCCGGGGATGAGAGCTCGAACCGCAGCGGGATCCAAGACGGCGACCGTCTCCAGGACGACGTACACCTGCCTGTCGTAGACGCCCACGTTCTCCTCCACGAACGACCTGAGCGCGTCGGGATCGCATCGAGAGGAAGTTCCCAGTTTCAGGGCAAATCGCTCATGTTCACATTCAAGCGATTCAAAATTTCCCAGCGTTTTAATTAACTGCTGTTAATTAATAATATGTAGTAATGCAGGGAAATGACGCAACGCTGATGATATTTAGTAAAGTTACCGTAAGGCGGCGACCATTGGCTCGCATGGCGTCTCTGTAGACGCAGCGACGCATCGCTCCACCACGAGCTGCAGCACATCCGTGATTATCTTCCTCACTGGGCAAACAATAACACACACATACACACACACTTAATTTTATGTTTGCATATGTGTAAAATGAACTGAAGCCTGACAGTGACATTAATATCAGTTCAGTTTTTTTTTTTTTTACTTTTCATCAATTTACACCCACAAGCTTTAATTTTTTTTTGCATGCGTGTTTTTCTCTAACAAACACAAAGTTGTGCACAATGGTGAAACAGAATGAAAATCTGAAAAGTGCGTCATAGCATAGCATCAACATTAATATCAGGTATTGACAACAACCCATATTTTCATATCGTGCATCCTTAGTGCCACGTATTAAAAACATCTCCTCTCTTGGCTGCGGCTGTTTGTCTTACCCGTCGGCTCATTGACCAGCATCAAACATTGCAGCAGAGCGGGAAGAGGCAGCGTCAGGACGGAGGCGTCCATGTCGGCGTTTCGCCTCAGCAGCTCCAACAGGAACATCAGGACGGACGCGAGGCGAGGCGGGGGGGTGTGGCTTTTAAACTGCAAGAAATTCTCGCTGCGAAAAGCAACAAAACGTGATTGGTCTGTTGGAGTTTTATAGTCAAAGGTTCCCCAATCCTCGGCTGCAGAGGCCTACCAAAGCACCTCCAGGACGGTCCTCCTCAGCGCCGCTCCCCTGGCGGTCGGCGCGGCCTCACAGGCACCGAGCAGCACCGGGTGGTTGGCAACCACGCCCAGAGAGGGCGAGGCGGGGAGGAAGTGATCCAAGTATCTACGGGTTACAGAGCGAAGCTGCTGCTTGAGGCCGGCACCCTGGGACTGAGACACGCCTGACGCCACCGACAGACCCTGGGAGAGGATTTGTTATTAGAGTTAAATCCTCAGGACAAAGTGGCAACTGATGGTTTTGTCTGGTTTGCGTCCAGCAGATCTCCGTCCTGACCTGCAGGTAAAGCGGTAAGCTGTCCCTCAGAGCTCTGTCCTGCTGCGGGAGCTTGGGCGGCAGCAGCAGCCCGTCCACGATCCGGAACAGCAGCTGCTGGGCTTTAAATGTGGCCAGCAGGGGGCTCCAATGCTTCACTATGCAGCCTGGAGACACAGCAACACATCAACCCAACTCTAGCAACAATAATAAAAAAAAGAGAATAGTTCTGTACTCTGTGCTGTGTTTACATGCTGATTCTCTACGTACCCACAGCCCAGTACGCCAGCTGCATCCCCTCCTGGTTCTTGCTGACTACGTACGGCTTCACGTGTTTCAGGACGTCACCGATGTAGTCCAGGGCTCTGGTCACCATGGCCGACCGCTCCGACAGCAGCTGCAACCCGCTGTAAACACTGCCTACCGCCTGACACCGTAAAACACATAAGGAGAGAACACGTTCGGCTCGTAAAGACAGGCTGCTGCAGACCTGGCATGACCAAGTCACAAACAGAATGCATTTTACAACGTATTACACAACAACATGGGGGGAAAACACAAACTAAAACAAGACATTTTGGAGTCAAAAGTCAGCAGTACAGAAAGAATAGTCCTTACCAAATCATATATTATCATAAATACTGCAAATGCATCTGTCACCAGTGAGAAACAGTTACCAGCCGTATCGCGATAATAAATTTTGTAGGACGATAAATTGTTATATTCTTGTAAAAAGATCATTTTCAACTAATAACTTAATAATGCAAGTTCACTCTCTCAAAAGACCAAAACACATTTGTACAAAGCACTCCATGCTGGAACTGGTATAGATTTTATATATCCAAAACAAACACTAAATAAAACAGAAATAGAAACCGGACAAACTGAAACCATGAATAAAATGGATTATGAGGTTTTTGTAAACAAAATTGCCCTTCAAAAGTCAGTCAAAAATAATCAGCGGGCTGGAAATTAGCACATTTTAATTGCGATTAACTGATTTATTGATTTATTGCGACAGGCTGAAGTAAGTGTTACCTTGACAAACGTCTCCAGGGCTGCGGTCGGCTCGGGCCTGGCAGCCGGGGAAGGAAGTCCGGCTCTTTGCAGAATGCCGTCCACCTCCGGCAGTCGCAAGACGAGCCGGGTCAGTTCGCACAGCTGCTCCCCAACTGCCCGGGCTGGGGCAGAAACAGGAAATATTCAGAAAGTGCAATATTTGATAAAGGAGAAGTTTGGAGGAATATCTAAAAAGCAGGGATGTGCCGATACATTGACCCTGATTTCCTTCATTTCGGGAGATTGAAAATGATCTTATCTAGAGATCTTCTCTACCTCTGAAAAGGTCTGAAAAACTAACTAAAGACTTTTCAAGACCTATTTAATGTCACTTTGAATGGAATTTAGGACCAAAAACAAACGATGAATATGAAGGGTGTGTGGGGGAATCTGCTTTATTACAATCAAACTACATAAAAACAGTGAAACTTCTGAGATCTGTTTGTGGATCTTCCCTACAGCCCAAGCAAGACTCTTCCACCCAGAATGCACCTCTCATCATATGGGTTGCTAACTGAATTGAGCCAGCACTGGAAATTAATCTCATCCAACCACTTGCCCATGATGGACGCAAAAAAATTCTAGCTAGCAAGGGTAGCATCTGGTTAGCGGTAGCTTCAACTGCCTCGAGTCACATAACACCAACCGAGACGTCTGCGTGTGACTCAAACTTTTGCCTGACAGAAAAGTCCTAGAAGAAAATAAACTATATAGAATATACAATGCAAAATAGTCCTGTCACCACAAAATTTAAGACCTGTGATTAACATATTTAAGGCTAACTTAAATACACATGCACATGCCAGGTTCACAGTAGTCACCCCACTGTTCCCAAATTAGAACATTTGTCCCTATATTTAGCTACTTTTTAGATAACAAAATTAATATCGGACAAAATCAAAATCAGCTGGTCAGGCTTTTCTAAGATCTGTGATTGGTCAGAAAACTACAATTGATGCACCCCTACTAAAAAGGAAAAACACAGAGACAACATGCTAGAGTTTTGAAATCGTGAGGATTGATGCAACATATGTAGAAAAACAAAAAGGTAATGTGTGATTTGATGGAATTCTAGACCCAATTACCCGTTTTGCTTTCCGTCCCGTCCAGGTTCTTGTGAAGGTGTTGCTGTAGGACGCATCGGATCCAGGTCCTCACTGAGAGGCCCTGAGCCGAACCCGGGGCCGCGTCGCTTAGCGACGACACCAGCTCAC